TTAATTAGATTTGTATCTTTTATTATTTAGGAGATTGGTTACTCGTTGGAGTTTTTTTTCTTTATCTTCGGCTTTTGATGAGTGAGTATACGCACTGTTGACAAAGGCACTGATCGTACTGGCTAGGAATGTTTCAGTGCACTCACTAATCCCTTTGAGACAGAGTCCTTTGTTCGTTGGTTTTGTGTAGACCGTAGTTGTGAATTTATTTTCTTCTTTGTTTGTAAGCACGTCTAGGAATGGCAATTTATTATCAGTTAATTTTCTATAGTAAATTACAATTTGGATTTGTTGTATATTTCCAGTAGTTTGGTGATTGTATTGGGGTCGTTGCAGGCAACCAATATATCGTCGATGTATCGACATTATATTTGTGGTTTAAGCTGTGGATGATTTGCGAATGTAATCTTCCCTAAGTGAACCATGTAAAAATTTGCAAAAAATACACCCAGTGGAGACCCCTTTGCGATGCTGTCGATTTGTTTATAGAGTTTGTTGTCTGGACAGTAGAATAGCGCTTCCAATGTGCAGATTTCTAGTAGGGATTTTTATTGTTACAATTAAATTTAAGGAAGTACATCCCAGAAGAAGACAGATGGTGCATGTTGGCTCCGTTGCCAGTCGCCGTTTCTGATCTGGCAGGTTTGTAACAGTTTTTTTGGAATTAAATATCATCTCACGCGATTGAATGTGTTATATTCATCTCATGAATACACATTCATCACACTTTTAGGTTGTGAATATAATGGGAAGTTATATGTTAGTGGCGGTTTCAAGTATTGTGATCGTTCTAAAGTAAGAAAACAGGTATTTCAGTATGATCTAACATTTTGACTGAACAACCTCCAATGTTGAGCAAACGTTATGGGCACGTTATGTTTAGCGTTGAAGACGCGCTCTTTGTAGTTGGTGGAAGATCCCGAGAAGTTTTGATGGTTTGCCCGCTGTCCGTATTAGTCGTCGTTGTTGTTAATGTAGCTAGAGTGTTGTTGCAGATAATGACGCTTGTTAATGTCTGGTTTTGCAGTGGTTGAAAATTTTTTTGGTTTTTTTAATTTTAAAAATAGATTTTTACTGATAATTTATTTCATGGGACTGTTAGATCTGCCTAAATAATTACACAATTTTTACTTAAAATTCATACGAAGAACGGAGAGATGTACGATCGTGAACTGGTCAATGGTCTTACGTGATGAAGTTGAAGTTAACTGCGGTGCAATCTCCATCCTTTCTCGTCAACAACTGCCTTTATACATTTGTAAAAAAATTTGCTGGCGACCGAAGTATTGAAATTTTCGTTCAAAAAATGAACTTGAGCAAGTATCTGAATGATAAGAGGCCATCAACAACATCATCACCATCGTCGTCATCATCATCATCAAGTGCATCACACGCGTTTCCTGTTCAAGATATCAGAGATGATGATCATGCAACAAATAATAACGGAAAAAGTTTACATCTGATGATGAGGAGGATGACGGAGATAATGAGCTAAGCAACGTTAACTGAAAAAAATTGAAAAGAGATGATGTTGACGCTGATTATTTTGATAGTGAAGTTGATAGTTCCGACGACGATGACGATGACGATACTGATGACGTCAATGATAAGGATGAAGTCGCGGTTAACAAAATTATAGACGAAGTTGAAGGTATTGATGACGACAATGATGCTTTCGATATTCCCGATGACAAAGGAAGTGAAAATGATGCCAAAAGAAATTTTAATGGTGTCGACATTATTGGTTACAATGTTGATGAAGTTTTTCTTCTTCTTCATTGATGAAGAAGATAACGAAGCTGATGATGAATAATATATGGAAGTTTTTTTTGATGATGGTGTTATTGCTGATGACGATAGTGATGTCATTACTGATGATGATGTAAAAACTGATGATACTGAAAATTTTAATTGTAATGAAGACGTCACTGTTGATCTTAAAGATGATGATTGTCAGGTTTATAAGTGCAGTGCGGCTGATAGCAAATGTTCGATCATTTCTTGGCTCGGCCTCGCCAACATGTCAGATGATACATGAAAATTTTTGTTGCACAGCGAACGGATTTTTTTTAGTTTTTATTGATTTAGTTTAGTCTTCACATTCGTTTGTTTAGCGTTAGATGTGTATTTTTCATATTTCATAGGAATAATTTAGTTGAGGTTAGAGAGTTTAAAATCTAATTTTATAAACTCAAATAAAAAATTAAAAACATTCATGATTCGTGTGTGGATATTGTTAAATAACTTGTGGACAAAAATAAAATTATAATTTTAAAATGAGTACCGTGTTTAAGGTGATGGCGATGATGATAGTGATGATGATGGTGAAGGTTAAGATTATGATGGTGATGGTTATTGAGATGATGGGGATAATAACGATGATTAGATAGATGATAAGATAATGATGGCGTCATAACCAAACATTACGCAGTACTGTCTAGCTGGAATATTATTATATGAAACACATCATGCATACAATACATACATCATCCTAGCTAGTCAAGTTAGACATACACATATGTCATATATATTTCATATATCATAGCTTAATAGATAACATAGCTTAAGACTAGTTTGCTAGCACAATAGAGTTTGGCGACACCATGGTAAAGAACCGGAACCCAACAAGCTTATTTTTCTTATTAATAATTTTGCTAAGAACTAAAGCATAAATCAAGTGTAACAATTCCGTTTTGCTAACAATTTGTTTTAAATTAATATGGCTTAATTATCCAGAAAATTTTTATATACAGCTGATCAGTACCCAATCTTACAATTCTGAATGCAGTTTATCAACACCACAAGATTTGTTTTCATCGATCTAAGTTTATTCAAAACAATTTCATAATTCATATCGTCTGGTATCATATCTATAAATTGTTTAAATTTGCTTTCATTTGCAGAATTTTATTGTCGTCTTCAAGTACAAACCCATTTTGGAAACTGGCATTTATCAGATTCACAATTTAAACTGAGTTGAGACTTAGTTCGCTATTTAGTTTTCTTAAAGATTTGATTGACTCTTTCACTGTTTGTTGACTATTAAGATTTTAAAAGTGAATGATATGAACTGGCTGCCTCTGTCTGTTGTAAAGGTTTCTAGGACGCCAAACAACCAAATTTAATTTGTAAATAATTTATCTACTATTGTTTCAGTTAAAGTATTTTTGATGGGAATTAGTCATTTAAAACAACTTTATTATTTCTATTTAAGACGTTGCTGAACTCAGGCACAGATTTTAAAATTTTCAAAAAACATTTTATTAAAGTAGCAATTGATAAGGTTATTTTTGACATAAGAATTCCGTCCACAACATAAATTTAAACTGCTGATGACATTCAATAAAGTTTTTAATTTTGATCCTTTTGTCGAGTGAAAATATTTGCACCTAATACGTTCAATAGTCCTTTCCTTCGACAAACACAATATAGATGAAGGAAACTAATAAAAAGAAAGAAGTTTTTTATTTTTAAAATTTTCACAAAATTGAATCCTGATTATTTTTCTAAAATCTTTTATGTTGTATTTATTTTTTTTTTCTTGAGGCTTAAATGAAACTTCAAATTTGTATTAAATTCAGCCATTATATGCAGAACTTGTAAGAAAACATTTTTGCAAATTAATAAACCTCAATTCACGAAAATTCTTATATCAACTAAATAATGAAATATATAAAATGTGAAAAAAATCAGATTTTGAAGGATGACTTCTTCCTAAATGTTATAAATAAGTTAACGACCCATGCAACAAATCATTTTGACGTTTTGTTGAACTCAGGTATTAAAGTTTTTAAAAAACTTTTCATTGAAGTAGCAATTGATTAGGCTATTATTGACTTAATGATTCTCTCCACAACATAAATTTAACCTGATGATGACATTCAATGAAGTTTATAAGTACACAATTAATCTTTTTGTCGGGTGAAATTATTTGCATCTAATACGTTCAATAATCCTTTTTTATCAACCAACAGAATAAAGATCAAGGAAGCTTATAAAAAGAAAAAAAAAATTATTTTTAAAATTTTCACAAAAATTGAATACTGATTATTTTTCTAAAATCTTTTTGGTTGTATTTATTTTTCTTTTTTTCTTGAAGCTTCAATGAAATTTCAAATTTTTAATAATTTCAGTCATTATATGCAGAACTTGTAAAAAACTCTTTTGCAAATAAATATACCTCTATATGAACAAGATTGAAACAATTTGACCAAAATCATTGTTGGGCATTTATAAAGTTTTCAGATGGAAGCGCAGAGATTAGTGAAAACAACAAAAGCATTTGTTGGCTATTTATTTACTGTTTTTCTGACAACTTCCTTTGCTCATAAGGTAAATATATTCAACGAATAATTACCAAAATTTGATAAATAAATGAATAACTTTTTTCAGATAGCAGAAGAGACACTGTCCGTGAATGAAACGATGGACATCTTCAACACTTCCATTAGGATGAGTACGTACTTGGTGACCTTTGTTGTCTGCGACTTTCTCTCAATGTCTCAAATGAGCCAGAGTGGAGTTAAGGTTGGTAGGATGGATGTGAATGGTTGAAAAAGACGTTGTTTTGCAGTTCAACCCATGAATTTATCCGAACAAGAATATTGACAATATTATATCCTTTCATTGCAAATTTCTGACAAAGCGGCTAAATATAATAATTTTCTGTTTGACATCCTGATGTAGGAATTTAATATTTCAATGTTTTAGATCTCGATATACGCTGCAGTAGATTTAATTGATGAGGTCGATTTTGCTCTTTATTGACACAATCGTCAAATTGGTTGATCATTCTGAAAAGTCTTTCGGAATCAAGTATCCTCTGAAAAAACTAGGTAGTAAATGATTTTTAAAACTTTTAAATATAGACTTAGTTTTATTTTTAATAGGTTAAATTGGTATTTCAAAATTTTTATAAATAATTTTTAATATTCTTAAAAAGTACAAGGTAAAAGTTAATAAAATAATTTTGTGACATTGCAATCGCTAATTTACTGACAGACAGTGTTGCCTTCCCTGAGTTTTATTCCGGTGCGACGGAAGGTTGGGGTCTTTTCGTCTCTCAATCATATTTTATACTTTTTAATGAAAACAAACATTCAGAAGACCACAGAATTACAGTGGCCGTTTCAGTTGCACCCGTCGTTGCTCATCAGGTTTGAGTTCAGTTGCCGTCGAAGGTATTTTTAAGTGAAACTTGTTGACAGAAAAAAAACGAGCATGATAATATCGTGAAATAACAATAATTATAATTTTTTTTTCTGATGATCAAGTGGTTTGGAAACTTGGTGACGATGGAATGGTGGGATGATTTGTGGCTCAATGAGGGATTCGCAACGTACGTCGCATATACTAGTACAAACGATATTTTTCCGGACTGGTCAATGGTCAGTTTTAACTTCGATGCTTCAAATTAATTTCATTTTCATCTCGTTTAAGTAATTAAATTCATAAGCTAATTTTTAGCGCAATTTTTTTTAACAGATGGAGATTTTTACATTCGATACGGTTTCAGCACTTCTGAAAGACGATTCTTTTGATTTCTCTCGTCCTATGATCAGTCCGGCTGACAACACTGAAGACATTATGCAGAACTATGATTCAATTTCATTTTATAAAGTTTGAGAACGTATTACAGTTTCAGTGAAGATTTCTGATATTTAAATGATGATAAAAATATTGGGGAAAAATGTAGCAGTTTCAGTGAAGATTACTGATTTTTTAATGATTATAAAAATATTAGGACAATAAATCTAGTTTGTAAATTATGTAAAATGTAGTCAACTTTTGGAGGCTTTACAATCGGAATAGATTCAAGTTAATTACATTTTAAAAAGATATTTTTAAATAATAATAATAAATTAAAAAATTTTCACATAAAAAAAACTATATTTTTAAATAAATTCCATTTATTCAAATAGGGAGCCGCATTAATTCAGATGCTGGAGAACGTAGTTGGATCTGACGTATTCAGCAGAGCCATCAATAACTACCTCATCAGCCACCAGTTTCATAGTGCAACGAGTGACGATCTCTGGGCAGTATTCTCTTGGCAGGTGACAAAAGATTGTTTCATTTTATTTTTGTAGGACTTGGTTTTTAAAATGATGGTGGAATATAGTTATCGTAGATAATCATAATTTATTTTTTCATAAAACCAGCTAGGTGACGCTAGCCACACCAGAGTGAAGAAACTGATGGAGACGTGGAAATTTCAAATGGGTCTGCCCCTGGTCACCATTAACAGAAATGGACGTCACGTGACATTTCGTCAGGAAAGATTCGTCATCATTGAGCATTCTAAAACGGAGGAATTACAATCACCAGGGTCAATTTTCAAGTTAGTTCCGATGACTTCATTTTCAAAGGATTGCAAGGCTGAAATTATTGTATTTGTGCGGTGAGCAAATGCGTCTATGCTGATTGTCGTTTTAACGATAATACAAACGTAGCCAATTTAATGGTGTTTCTCCCAATAAATTGAAAGTTAAGAACAATTCTGCCGTGTTTCGTAGTTTGAAAAGTTGAAACTAAACTAATTAGACAACAATAAGCGTAATGCACGTATACTATTTTATTACTGTTAAATAAATATAACGAGTAACAAGTTCTATAATCAACGAATTGAACGAATACAATAAAGCATGTTTACAATTATGGTCACGTTAACAATCAATTATCGCCCATCAACAATAGAACAATAATTAGCAAAGTGTCTGTGCACCTCCCCAACAAACTAAAGTTTGTGGGCAAACTTATGGCGTATACGTTCAGATCTTCTAGGCAGAGATATCGGGTCGAAAAGCACTTGACTACTTTCAGGCATGGTAGGTTTGACGATTGAATTCCTTGAGTCAAATTGGGACTGGGTCCCAATGATTTACCCTGGGTTGCCATCTTGGTTGGCACCGTATCTAGGACGGAAGTCCTCTACGTCTCGTTTCCATAGAAGACCATTTGGGATCGATTTTACCAATAAGTGTCTTCGGCCTAATCTTTGAAAATCTTACCTTCTTACTTACGTGACCCTAGCCTACCATATTTACAGTTTCGAAGTCAGATTAAAACATATTTATTTGCACAATGAACATACGTCTTATTTATCTATGATTCAGTAGCGCTTTTGAGATTCAACAATTAAAAAGCGCTGTATATAAATTTTCGTAATAATAATAATAATAAAAATATATATATATGTATATAGTTGTCATTCGCGATAGTACTTTGTTTTTTGGACAATCATAATCATCATCGAAATCTCATTTTAATTAAATTAAATGAACATTCGGCGTTTTGTTGTTGTTTTATTAGGAATCATAATCAAGATCGACATCGCAATTAAACTAAAACGTCGGTAACCGAAATTTTTCTTTGATGTGCTTCGTTGAAATCGTAATCATCAATGACATCGCAATGAAGTTAAAAAATGTTATTTGTGTAAGAAACATCAAAGAGATCGGCGCTTATGAATTTTTGTGACATTTTTAATTTTTTATTAAATTTCTATTGCATTATTTCACTATTTATTATTTATTATTATTTACTTATTCGTATAATTTTGTACTGCTGCCTTGTATGCTGTAACAGTTTCTGCGTCTGTCAGATCCTAATTTTTAAAGAATTATTAAAAAAAATAATATTTGTTTTAGTTTCGCAAAAAGCAGGAGAACCTATTTGTCCGGCGGACACCGAAGCTACATGTAGGGCGAAATTCGGAACTGTCCCGCCCAATTCTGAACGGTTGGAAACTATGGGATGGATGTGAGTGTGACATTGCTAATGATGTTTTTGTCATAATCTTTTTTTTTCATTTAGACATCGGTGTTAATTGTGAGTTTCTGTTATATTCTTGTAGCTAATCGTTAAAATAAACGTCGATGATTGTCTAGGTTTCGAAATTATTTGTAATCATGAATTTTTAAGCTATCAAATTTGTTTAAGTCGACCAGGACTTCTTTGGACGGCCTTTGGGACGTGTGCCAGGTACATCAACATCTGCAAGAGAAGTTATGGCCCTGTTTCCATTTTGTTTCGTTGTTGCCGGCATTCGTCCTTTATATCATCTAAACCAGCACGAATAACTCAGATGGAGATGATAATACGATAACGATTTATAACATGCCTATTAGATTAATTCATAACATTCTAATATTTAATTTTGAAAATAATACTTTTATTTAAAAATTTCTATACAGAAACTTAAAAATCCCAATTGTTTATCAAAATATAATTTTTGCATGGCTAGAGCGCCTTAGGTAAATATAAAATTCGTTTGAAATTGATCGAAATACGTCAAAGAATTTTCTCATTCGATTGTTTTATTAATTGCTTGAATCAACAAAAATTGTTTCTATTTAGTATTCTAATAAAAATATGCCACATTTATATTATACATTATACATTTATATGTTATTAAGCATCGTTTTATGTTATACTTACACGAGTAACTCGTATCTCGATACAAATGTAACAAAATCACTATAAATATTAACTAAATTGCAGCCAAAATCCATGTTTGGCTTGAAAATTAAAGTCCTGTAAGAGTTCGTTTGGATTCAAAATTAAATTATTTAATATTATATTGAAATTATTTTTTGAGCTTCATTCAAAAAAAAAACTAAAACCAATGCATGGCAACTTTTGCCTGGTTGTGTTGGGTGCTTTGCTGTTTTTGAAGCAGAGTTCATGTGCTCCGGTCTTTACTGCAGCTACAGGTTGGTAAGCGTTTTTCACCGTTCAATGCACAGTTTATACTAGGAATAACAAAATAAAATAATATAACTATCATAATTATTTAACTCATTTATTGAAAATGGGTGAAAGCATCATCATCATCTTCTTCTTCATCGAATATATCATCATCATCATCTTTGTCAAAGCCTGAAAGATTTTTATTTATTATTCTGAAGTTGTTTTATATTTTTAACAGTTTTTTCAATAATATGAAATTTAGAACTAATAAAATGATTGAAGTTAGGCTGTATTTTTTTAAGGAAAGCCAGCCTTGAGCTACACAGGATTCAAATACACAGGTAATTTGATTTTATACAGCTAGAGATTGATGTTCAAAGTCCAATTTCATTCACTGCATCATTTACTTAAGTGGCATTAACCACGCACACATCATACTCACAAACACACGCTTTTGAACCTATCAATGTATATGTGTGGAGATCACACACAGACGCGTGCGCACACACACACACACCACACACACTCACACAAACACACTTTTTCGAACCAATCATTGTATATGATGTGTGGGGATCTTATTGCATTAAAACTTTGTCAATTCAACACCAGCTGAAATGCAAATTAACTTAAAAAACGGCCACTCACTTGAAAATTTTGAAAATTATCCCGTCCCGAAAACGGGATACCACGGGAATTAGCAAGAAAAGTCACCAACTTTACAATTAGGGAATCCCCTCCCCACTCCGCAAAGTTTGGATCTGCCACTGGATAGATCAAATTTTTTCGACTTTTTAACAAAAAGCAAAATTTTATAATTTGAATATGAACAAAAAACTTTTTCAGGACAATCCACAATGTTTAACACCTATGCAGGTTTGTTTAGAGGGATTTAAAGATTTTATTTCAATTTGGCAATTTTTTATAAAAAGTTTTGGGTAAAATGAATGTTTCTTATTAAGATTAATACAAAGGATAACTTTCAAAATGTTTCCATCGTAAAACTCAAATGCACCATTACACACATGCACGCACGGAAAATGTATTTACATTCATACAGGGAAAACTACTGGCAAAAACACGTACACGGGTTTGCATGAATCGAATCTTTTTTTTTAATTATCTTTTCAATATTTTGAAAACAAAATTTTTGACATGACCTTAAATTTTAAAATACACTCTCCTACAAAACACGTACAAATAAAAACACACTGTGTCTTTTTTTTCTATCATTCTCACTCTCACTCGTTAAAATTTATATAGGGCTGCCAATGTATACAGGTTGAGATAATCGACACAAGTTTTATTATAGTTCATTTTATTTTATTCCAAAAATTATTTGTAATGAAATATGATAAAAAACACACAAACACACACAAAAACAAACAAACATAAGCACATACATACACAAACACAAGGCCGCAAAATATACATTTATTCAGGAGTACCAACAATGAAGAATTCAGGTAGGTTTGAAATTTGTCATTTTCAAAACAATTATTTTAACAAAAACAAGAAAAGTAAAAACAATTTATAAATATTAAAAAATGAAAAAAGGTCTGATTTGTTTGCATTTGATCCCATTGACTTCAGCATGAAGACCAAACGTATCGTCAAATTAATTTTTGGATTTTGATTTCATTCTTCCTCTCTCTCGCCTTTTCATCTTCTGGATTCTAATAAGCTTTATTGGCTGACATTTTTGGTTTCAAATGGATGTGTTTGTTTTTGTCTTCATCTGAAAAAAATGCTAAGAAAAATTAAAAAACTTTTTATTGTTTTGAGAAACCATTTTTCAAAAATGAAAATTCAATTTAAGAATAAATTTTCATCCGGCAATGTAAGATTTTTGATTAGAACACAAAAATTGATAGCAAATAATTCCTTTCAGGATTTAAAGATTGGGGTTACCCTGTCCAAACGGGTTGATATGTTTTAATTATTATCCCAATTTTCAATTTTAAAGACAAAAACACACGCCACTCACTCACGCACGCACACACACATAAACAAACACACACACGTAATATTATTGCTATAAATTTAAATAATATTTTATTTTCACAGGAAAACCTGACAAAACCAAAGGTTTTCAACGTTTTTGACTAAAATGAAAAAAAATACATATAAACTATATTTAAATTTTATAAAAATCTTCAACAAAATAATAAAATATGAAATTATATATAAATTTGTTAATAATTTTCCCATAAATGTTTATTGAACTCAGCAACAACACACACAATGTATGTAAAACACGCGTGAAATCCCGCATCACATACATTAAACCTGATAGGCGGAGATCTTTTTGCATTAGAACCTGGCCACAGCAACAGCAGAAACAAGCGCCTCAACCATTACGCCTTAATTTTTTGGATGTTATTAAGCTAAAAAAATTTAAAGTTTGCAAATCTCATTTCAGAGGTTAAAGATTGGGGTTACACCGTGCTATATGGTTAATATATTACAGTTGACAGAATTCATTTTGATTACCATGACACGCACACTCAATTACACACAATTTTTTGACCTGTACATGAAATGCTGGTAAGTTTTGTTTAACGCAATTTTTGAAAGCATATACTAAAGGAGGGAGTTTTTTTTCAGTAAAACAAAAATTGTTTAATTAAGTGTAAGAGTTAATAATATTATTATTCATTAATACTTAATTTTAAATTGATTCATTACAAAATTATTGCATTCATCATCATCATTCATCATTTTTCGTCAGACAAGACTCGGTTAATTTGAAAAAAATTTACATCGATCACCCTTTCATGAAATTTACACATGAAATGTTTGCAAAAATAAAAATTCCTTTTGATTAACAATCACTATAAAACATTAAAAAATTTCTAAATTATCAAACACAGAACATTATTTCTATATTATCAAATAAGTGTTTTTGAATATTTTAGACCATTTTTTTGAATGTAGATATAAAATTTTCCACTTTGATATGCTACTCATATTACAATATTATATTAAAATTGTATTTTTTCCAAAGCCTAAAGTTACTTCAAAAAGAAATTTTGACCCATCTATTGAATGTGAAAAATCTTAATTTAATTAAACCATTATTAATAAAAATTTTCTAAAATTTGAAAACTTTTTGGTTCAATAAAACATTTCAAGCACTAATGTATAACGACTTATTCATGGCCTCATTTCACAACAAATAATAGAGTGGTGAGCAAATGCCAGGATCGGTTTGAGGTGTGAGTGAGACAGCGATCAAGTAAAAGCCACTACAAATTTTCAAGCCCAACGGGGCAACTAATTTCCGCCGATGAGTCTTACACAATAATAATATTTATAAATTAAACTAAAATAATAAAAATATTTTTTCTATATTATTATTGAAGATTTTGATGCAATGGATCATAAGCCATCTGGTATGATGGGTTTGTATAAAAATCAGTGTGTTGTTGTGGTTGTTGGAGTTGAGTAGCCGTGTTGAACGTCATTTGATAAAATGGGTTTGTCAGGAAATGAATTTTTTGATGTGTTAGTTGTTCATGATGCAGTGGAGGTTGTTGTTGTTGAGTTTGTTGTTGTGGTGCTGTGTTGCCGTTATAGGCGTTCTGAAGGTGAGAATGTGAATGAAGATCAAATTTGGCCTTCTTGTTAGGTCTGACGTATTGACTGTTTGATTTTCTTTTTGGGCGATATTTGTAACCCGGATTGTCCTGCGAATGTTTTTCTTTCTCTTTCTCTGCCTCTTTTTTATAAAACTCTCTCTCTACTTCAGGCAGTTGTTTCCACATACAAAGAGCAATTTATTTATTTGAGTCAGGTTGGCACCTGGGTTTTGAGCCACGAAGTTCGGGCGCATCATTTTGCTGAAAATGAAAAAGCAGTTTGACGGGCGTTTAATTTTTTTGTTGCCGCCCTGTTGCTCAATACTAATGATCTGATTTGAAGCCATCTCGTATGAAAAATTTTTAATCGGAAAAAAGAATGAACTATTATTAACCTATCAACGTTGTAATAAGAAACAGAACAATTTTCGTTGATTCAACAAATTTTTGCTTTATTTATACCAAATGTGAGAGTTAATTTATCTCTATCGTTTGTTAATTACTTAATTAACGATGGATAATAAAATTTACTTAGTAAAAGCAGCGTAATAATTAATATACAAGTTATCCTAACAATCAATAAAAGTTTCAAATTTACAACTTTCAAAGTATTTTTGAAAAGTTGATGTCTGCCTTCTAAACCAGTAAAAAACCCTTTTTAATTTGCATAACCTAATCAAACTTTTTATTGATAAATTTCAATCTGTTTTATTTTCAATTTAACGATTATTCAGACTAATAGTATTCTGATTTAAATTGTCTGACTGCAAATACAAGACAATAAAAATTTATTATTTCTCTGGGGAAACCTCAAAGATGTTCATTCTGATGTAAGTTTTGAACACGTCAAGACCGACATTCATCTAATTAAATGCATGTTAACAGGTAAGCCTTTGTTCAATTTAAGATCGAAATTAACATCATTATAATTGTATAAAAATTTATTGTTCCTTCGTAAGTTTGCGAGGAATTTTTTATGTAAATTTTACTATCTATATTATTTAATTATTTCTAAAATTGTTCTTTTTTAATTATTATTTAATTATTAATTATTTAATAAAAAATCTAAACTTTAACAGAAAATTATGTTTCTAAAATCGATACCCGCAGTTTTTTGGTCGATTATGATTAGCTGAATCGTAGCCTAACTTGATGATGATGATGATTAGCCATTTAGTCCAAGTCGACTTTCGGCCACTTTATGGATCTGTCTTCTCCATGCGTTCTTGTCCTCGACGATTATTTTAAGTTCTGAGATCGTCATTTTGGTGGCCGATGTGATTGTATCAAGCCAACGTATTCTTTGCCGTCCTTTTCTTCTTGTCCCACTCACTTTACCAAGCTACATTGAAGTTTCCAGCGAATTTCGCTTTTTCCAGTTCCTCGCATTGGTTGTTCCAGTATGCTTCTTTGTCCTGTCTGGCCCTTTTTTGGAACGCCGCATTGAGAAGTCGGAATTCCTCGATGTTCCCCTTTGACTTGGCCATGCGACGATGCTCGGCAATCTTGATTGCTTCGTTCGTCAGCCACTTCGATCTTTCCATTGATTTCTTAAAAGGGATGATTTCCTCTGCTGTTTTTCCCACGATCAATTTGATTTTCTCCCACATTTTATCAGGCTCTTCATTGAAGTCGTTGAAAGCCTCAAATCTGTTCTTTATTTCCACTGCGTATTGGGCGGGGATGTTGTCTGTGTCAAAGCGGCGTAATGCTTGAGGTCTCTTAATGGTGCTGAAAATAATTTTAATTTTAGCAACCAGTAGCTGATAACCGGAGCCGCAGTTAGCGCCTGGATAGGTTTTCGTTGCTAGTATTGAGCTTTCCAAGCAGCGATGACATAGGATGTAGTCGATTTGGTTTCGATGTATACCGTTTGGTGCTGTCAAAGTGTGCAGCCTTCGTTTCGGTTGTTCAAACCAGGTGTTCATGATTGAGAGACGATTTTCTGTGCAACATTGGATCAGGCGGTCTACTGCGTCATTTTGTTCACCAAGACCAAATTTGCCGACGGCAGGCAAGTCTTCACCTGATCCGACTTTCGCATTAAAATCTCCCATCACAAAGATTATGTCACGAGCTGGGATCTGGTCGATTGTTTCTTGGAGTTTGGTATATATATCTTCAATGTCTTTCTCTGGTGCATCTGCTGTTGGTGCATATGCTTGTAGAACCGTGATTGAGCGGGGGCTTCCAGTGATGCGTATGGATGTAATTCGATCGCTAGCAATGTTAAAAGAGTATACGGCTTTTGCTGACTGCTTTTGTTGCGATGAAGGCCACTCCATTGCGTTTAATGGTATCGTTTCCAGAGTAGACGACGGTGTATTCATCGCTTTTGAAATATCCATTACCCGTCCAGTGAAGCTCGCTGCTGCCCAACAGATCGATATGAAGTCGTTGCATTTCTTGCTTGATGATTTCGAGTTTGCCTATGTTCATGCCGCGAACATTCCATGTGCTGATATTGTGAATAGTTGTTGAAAAACGTAGACGCTTCATTTTGCGCGGAGCCACATAAGCAGGCGGGAGTTCTGATGGATAGCCTAACTTATGATTCAGTTAATCATATAATTTCTTCTTCTTTAGAAGATCTTCTCTAGGGATTGCTGATATCATTATTTTACTATCCTAATAATTTGAACAATTAATTCTTTTTTATATTTCAAATGTAAACACACAATATATGACTATTTTCCAAAAAAAACACTGCATAGTTGTTGAATGAATTGTAAAATGTAACAAAAATACTCTATAATTAATTCCTTAAAAACGAAATGCGACGGTAGGAAGAAGAGATCATTCTGGTAAGTCTTCGTCAGTTATGACAAAATCTTTTGACGCGCACATCCATCTTTAAATTTTGCACTTCCAGGATTTAAGTCTTTTCAAAGTGATTTTTGACGTATTGATGGCAATCTTTTTTGCAAATATATCAGTAATTTTTCTTTTCCGGAAATTTTCCATGCCACGAAACTTCGTTCTAATGAAAAGATTCTTTCGAATGTTCTTGGCTGGATTCGTTTAAGTCAACACCAACTGAAATATAATTGAAAGAAATAGTTATTATAATGTAATTTTTATTTCTATCGTTTTTTAAATTGCTATTATTATTACTGAAATTGCGATTAATTATGCTTACTCTTTTTTAACTGTTTATTCAAATATGTTCTAATTTATTCACTCTTTTGTGATATTCAAGAAAGTATCAACACATACACATTTGTGTATTGGAATACTTCGATCATTTTTAATAACAGAACGAAAAAAGCCTTGGTTGAATCAACGCCTTGTTAGACTTATCTTCTTTTATTACAGACTATGAAATGGTTCTTTCATCTAATAATTTATAATTGTTGTCTTGATTGCTGATGGTTGAATTTCTGGAATAAACGTGTCATGTGTTGTGATAAAGAAACCTCATTCATAGAATATGCTGTTGGAGCATATTTTATTGATCGTGGTCTGATGTTGTTTAAAATTTCAAAAATAAGCGCCCTAGTGTTAATTAATTATGTCGTTCAATCTTGGAAAAGATTTAGTCTTTTTTAAAATACTTTTTTTTAAGGATGATTGTGTATTTTTGCCTGACATAAATCTATCTGTTGCTGGTGTTGAGATTGTTGATTGCATGTTTTTCACAGGTAGATGTATTTTCGAATGTCGGTTCATTTGTAGGTTTTTTTTCAAACATTCAAATTAATGCATTACATTTTTTTATAACAAGCTATTTATGTCTTAATTAAATTAAATTTATCTTTATCAACTCAAAGTAGTAGAGGTCTTTATATCTAAATTCCATTTCATGAACACAAAAAATTAACTATTGTTTGCTCGATCTTTTAAATAATAATATTTATAAACTAGAACTAAAATAATAAAAATACTTTTTTCAAGAGTTTATATTCTCGCTAGATAAAATTTGTCCTTAGTGCTTTTTTGCATGAGATTTTTGTCTAGGGGTTTCTGTCCAGGAATTTTTGTTCTAGAACTTAGCGATTACAGCAATGAGAACTAAAATTATATGTTGAATGTAAAATACTATTTTGTTTGTTTTTTAATATAATGGTTTATTAAAGAAACGTTAATTTAAAATAATAGAAAACACATCAGTTGACAAAAAAAGCACGAGTTAGTATATTAGTTTAGCAAAGAAAAAATTATTTGAACAACGCAAAAAAAACTATGGAAATGTTTTAGGAACTTATATAATATACATATATATTATTTCAATACTCTGTACATCGTGAAATGTTTGAAATTTCAACTTTGAAATGTAATGATCACACCAGTATTGTTATATTCAACGTTTTACAATTTTTACTTGAAACTTTAAAAAAATTATTAAGCAGTTCAAAGTCCTTTGAAGGATCATTTAATTGTGATATAATGTGAACGTTGAATTAAGAGTGGCAGAAGTAAACAAAAAATAACTGGTAACGCACGCACGCACTCGCACGTAAATAAATAAATACGCTTAATAGTAAAAAGAATAACAACAACAAAAGCATACCATAAATTTTCGTTTCAAGTGTACATAGAGAATGAATTATTGCGAATGTTAAATGAAACGTGCTGATGCAAATGCATTAAAAATTAAAATTTAATCATTGATCGAATGCTCCAGGTGAACAAAAGAGAGACAGAAAATATGAGAGAGTTATTGAAAGAGATTTTGAGAAAATAATGGAGATTATTTTATTGTTTTTTAATTATTTCTTAAGATCTATTCGTCCATGAATAGAAGCGTATTCTGTTGTAATTTTGCATAGTTTGCAGGCAACAACAAAAGCTCTTAGGTTTCAATGCTAATCAGAGTGTAAATTATATCTACAAACAAAAACTGAAAAGAGGAATTAACGTTGTTGTTGTTAAAAGAGATATCTGATAGTTTTAAAGTGCTGCAAATTTACTAAGTTTCAAATTTTTACATGAAACTTTGTGGTGGGTTATACGCAAAAATATTTAATTCCAATCTAAATAATATGCATCGTTGAACAAAAGGCAAAAATATTAACAGTGGTCATACTTTAAAAAAAAAATGTGTGCTCTTCATTTTTGTACCAATAAAACTTTTCAAAAACTTTCATGCTATCTTTACGTGTTCTAATTATTTTTAATTATAATCAAAGTGCTGGCGTGTAATAAGTTAGATGAGGCTGCACCAAATTTGTCTATTTGTAGTGTTTGCTTAGTAATAATAATAATCAAACAATCCATAATCAAACATGGAACTGATGTTAAAGAGAAATAATTTGTCGCCTTGTTTGTAGATCGATGAAACGTTTGCTGATCTGAACTGAAGTGGAAGTTGACTGATAGCTAAAAATGTCTGGGTTATCAAAGCAATTGGATATATTTTAGAAACATAATGTTGATGTTACATTGTCTTTTTTGTGGACGCTTCTTTTTTGCGGAGGCCCGAATGTAGTGACTACAGCCGCCCAACCCTTCCTCCAGTCAAACTCTGCAAGATCAGAATTCAACGTTCCCGTTCCTGCGTAGAAATAAATGATAAAAATTGATACACAGTAACCTGCAACACTTTAAAACTATCAAATAACATCAGCGTTAATAATTTCTGTTTTATTATTATGTTTTTATAGATACTTTTGTTGATCAAATCACTGAAAACAAGCGTTTCTTCAAGATGAGTTTTTTTTCAAACATCAAATAACATGATGAAATTTGAAATTGACATTATAATAAGTGTTTTTAGTAATTATAAGGCTTTGTTATATAGTTATCATAATCAAATATTTCTCTTAATTGCAATCGTAATTCTTTCAATTAATTGACGAACCAACCAACATGAACAGGAACATCTGTTGATGCTACTACTGCTATTTACCTATCACTTTACAATCACTTTTATTGTCCGAAAAAGGCGGGCACCATATGACGTTCTTTTGAGTATCATCAGCGCTCACTAAGATCCAATCTGACAAAACTTTAAATGGTAAAATGAGTTTAAAAGTAGCAGTACAGTAACTCATATTTGTTTGCTAAATTTTCCGATTGTTTGTTTGTTTGTTTGTTTGATTGATTGCTTGATTGTTTGAATGGTTATCAATTAACAATAGATTTGTTTTAAATTTATGTTAATTAACCCAATTAAATTTCCTTTAATAACTACAAAGACAAACATACCTGCAAGAGCAAATACAGCGATGATAGCGATGAGAAGCAGAGATTGAAACATGTTGTGATGTTTGAAATTTTAGTTCTCTAACGTTGAAATGTGTTGAAAGCCTGCGTGTATTTATACACAAAGTCTAAAATTTTTGAAATCAATCAATAGGAGAATAGTTCAAGCATTTTAAAACATGTTGCACCCTTAATGCTCGATTAGTTATGGTAAATTTGAGGTGTTAAATTTGGCGTGATGATGGTGAACAAGAAAAACATGGCAACTATAGTCATTAAATAGAATGTCAGATATACGCAGATATACGTATATACATACACACTCACATACATACACACAAACACATACTTACACACACACATACATACACGAACACACATACACACAAATTAACTGTTCTGTTAGTCATGATAAATTGAAACGTTTGTTTATAAAAATACTTCAAGCACGGACTACTTGCTCTAAGACTCTTTAAATCGAACAACAAATAATTTTTAATAAAAATTGAATCATTATGCGAGCCTTAGCGTCAAGTGTGCAGTGTTTTTGGATTTTAAGTGAAACTACTTTTTCTCATATAAAAAGAGCGGTAGTAGATCATGTGTTAGATTAGTTGCATTGGTAAATTTTTGAGTTACAAATAACCTTTGTCTGCTAAATTAATCTTCTATCAGATATGAATTTTGCATGTCTTCTACTTAACTGCTTAACTGACCCTTGTATATGTCTAAAGTATATGTTTGCATATGTATGTGTATTTGTCCGTGTATATGAGTGTATTGATTGCTTGACATAATAAAATATGAAACTACCAAAAACAATTATTGTCAACATTTTAAAAAAAAGTTTCCAAACATGTTAACCAAAAAAAAATTTAAAACATGTATCAAAAGTTATTATGATTAAGTGTTCTATTGGAATCAACTTTCATAGACTGGATGCCAATAAGATATTTAGTAGCTTCCGGCTCATCACATCAGTGGCCATCGTCTGGTTGGTTAAGCTTCAACTTCAGCTTCACTGCCGATTATTTCTTTCAATGGTTAACAATGAGGTATTTATTTTCAATATGAAATGAAATGATTTTATGTTTTTTAAAGTTAAAACGAAATCATCCACCTCAATGTAATACCTCCTAAATACATACATCAGCACTGTTGTTAGTTTAGAACAATATGACATCATCAAGCCAGAATAAATTATCATTTAAATTAATAGTGTACAATTCTTCAAGTCAGTACATTGTAACTTGTCGTGTAGATATTCTATGCTATTTATGTGACATGACACTCAATAAGACGTAACAATTTCAAAGTCAAATGAATTAAAAACTTTGCTCCTGTCCGTATACAATACACTCAACTCTATTTTGAGGACGAAAGTTACTCGAATAATAAAATAATCTCGCCGTTATGTTAGTTCAATTTTTTTGGAGTTAGAAAGAAAAAAATCATTTTCATAGTTTGAGAAATATTATTTTTAAAGATCCCAGCAACTAACACGTTACATCCAACCCATATATCACCCCTAACCACATCTTCCGCTCTTAGGATTGCATAATCTAGGAGCTTTACACCAGATGTTCTGAATGAATGGAGTTAGCAGGCAGCCAATTTTTATTTCATTAATATTTATCATTGTTGTTAATTTACACACACACACACACACACACAAAACACACACACAGAAACATTGCATTATGATAGGTGGTGGGGATCCTTTCGTAGTATTCGAACCATGTCATGGCAACACAAGTCCAACACGCTTTTAAGCATTGCAACATTTTACAACGCATCAATAATTGTAACAACACGTAGCAAATAATTAAATGCAATGGTGAATTTAAAAACAAAATCTTCAGAATTCATTTACCTTGCACGCAGTGCTTGGAGCTGAAAATGAAAATATTCAATATATTACAAGTTGAGTTAATTGCGTTTGAAGATTATAGATTGAACGTACAGTTGCAAGTGCAGAAGGACTCACAACCGTTCGAGTCGGTCGTGAAACCAAGGAAGCACCTCTTACGACACTGAAGTCCCGAGCAGCCTGTGGTGACATCATATCATATAAATAATATAAATAATCCACAACATCATATAAATAAGTTTATTTTTGAATGTCGAACGCCAGTTTTCAAATTTGGTACAAAATCTTGTAAAAATTTAATTGAAGCTATTATTTTAGCATACGGTCAAAACAAAGTATCTTGAAAATTGTTAGACCAAATCAAAATCAACTTGTTTGTAGTGATATTGAAATTTCTTACTTATTATCAGTAATTTAAAAATATTTCATAAACCAGTTACTGTATATAAAAATAAAAAATGAACGTTAAAGGAGTGTGATGAAACCTTTGCAGAGGCAGGACTGGCATCCATTGCTGTCCACTTCATACTCGCCTGGACAGCCCCGTGAACAAGTTCGCTCACGACACTCTGAAAGAAATACAACCCAAGTCTTTATCATCTTCTGTACATTAAAATAGTTATAATTTTTTGTGCATTTAAATCACAATTGCCATAAGAACCAAGCGTTGAAAGTGGTTTAAAATTTTTTCACGAGAAAATGTTATTGAATTTTTCGCAACAACAAACCACATTTCGATGTCTCTTCATTACATTTCATGCTCCATTTACAGTCTCCATCTTTCTAAAGTTGTCGTTGAGTTTTGTGATTTTTAAATGATAGTTTCCAAGTTGAAGGTTAATATTAAGTTTTATGTTTTATTTTAAAACATTATGATATACATCTATTTTTAAGCTAAATGTTCTTTGCATTGTATGTAAATTCACTTTTTGTGGTTCCGGTTGATAATAAGCGAGTCTAAAACGTTTCTAAGTTTATTTTCTTCTTTTAATATTATATTAATATCAATTAATTAAACAATCTACGTTACAAGAAATTTAACAAATATATTAATTGTATTTACAGTTATGTGAATATTTATCAAAATATAATTTGCACAACTTTTTCAACTATTAATAATTAGTTAAAATTAATTGGCAGGTAAAAAATTTATTGTAAAACTAACGCTGCAAGGCTCTCCAATTGCTGAAATTAATTGTTTAAAACATACCATCTGATTTAACAAGTTTATTAATAAGAACAATTTAAATTTAAAGTTTAGCAATAAATAAGTATTTTAGAAAATTTGTTTAAGAACCATTCATCTTTTAGAAGAGAGATGTTTCAAACATATTTTGTCTCAGTATGAAATACTTGTCCGCTTCTAACTCACCAGATACAGAGAGCACCACACAAAATGCAGATGCCAGCAGTAACACTGTCACTCTCATCTTCAATGGATCAACTGGTAGTGGCTGACTCTTCCAATGTGGTGTGATGAAGGTTGTTTGGAGAACTTTCGCATTACGGATTACGGCAACCTATTTGAATGAATTTTTTGTTTACTCATTTAAATTTTTTCATTCTTCATTGAAAAGTATAAATTAGTTCTCATGTGCTTGTTGTTTTGCTTGTTGAAGTGTTCTTTATTTCTTATGTTCTTGAAATCCGTAGTGTTCAAAGATCAAAATGTTGTGAAGTATTTTTGCAGCGACGTTAAAATTTTAGTAAAATAAATTACATTATGATGTGCCCTTATTTAAATATATTTTCTCTAGGAAAAAAATATTTTTAAGAGAATTTGGATCATTTTGATGCTGCATAGCAAAAAGAAAGAAGGCAAGCCCGACTGGGTGCCTGGGGTGTATTTCAAGAGTACGAATTTTCAAATACTCATATATTAAAAATATACTGCAGCAAAAACTTGAATTAACACTTTTGGTCAACAATAAATAATTAGATGAAATATAACAAAGTTAGTTTATTTTTTACAACCTGCCTATTGAGCCAATTCACGAAAATAAATTGTTAATTGAAACTGAGTTGAAAACTGCTTTCGAAATTTCAAATTTTATTTAAAACGCCAATGAAGGATTCGTTCAGTATGCATTTTATAGTCTTTAAGCGACTGCTTTCAAGTTTCTCTTTAATGAAATTTTGAATTCGCGAAAGTGTTTGTTAGCGGTCCACTGTAACAAAGAAAGTTACCTCCATGCATACACACACACATACATATATTATTATTATTATTATTATAATTCTCAATGGATAATTTTTAAAACATTCTCAAAAGAGTTCTCAAAATGAAACTTCAAAATGGAAACTTAAAAACCTAAACAAAGTAAGTTGGTCAAAACAAAATAATCATAAGTTCAACAAAAATGAATCTATTTTAATTATAGTCTAAGCTTTAAGGTTTTTTTCATAACTGTTGAGATTTTGACCCAACGACCTTTCCGAGTACAATGGCAAATTGTTTCTAAGGTCTAAGACTGGGTCCTCCATAGCCTAAGTCCTGTCTGATACTGCAATATCAATAGTTCCAAGCTGCAGTTTTCTTACCGAAACTGATAATAGATATTTTTTTTCCCATCCGATCTCAAAAAAGTTTTTTTTTAATTCACATGACAGATACTCAGGCGCTAAACTATTCAACGCTTTAAAAACCATGATACTAATTTCAAATAACCATTTTTTTAGAGTATTTAGATACAAAGCAGTTATTTGACGTCTGAGCTTTTACAATGTATAATGAAGTACCATCATCAGATGAGTTTTCCTCACTCTCTTTAGTTGAACCATCCTTTCTCGACATTGGCTTTTGAGGCCACTCAATATATTCTCATTATCACAGCTTTCCAATTTTTCTGGATCACCTTCTTTAGTAAATAGTTTTCTTGGAGCTTCTACGCCAGAAAATCGTTTTGCAAATCGGAAATATTTGACATGTTGCATCAAGAATGTAACGCTTTTAAATGTGAATTGCGGAAATAAATGTTTGAGTTTGAAAATTGAGAATTGAGTTTGAAAGGTTGCCTGGGGTCAATTTCGATATAATTGATATATATTTGAATAAACTTAATAAATGATTTTTTAAATTTGTTTACAAAAAATGCAAGTTCGAAATTGATGTGAATAATTTAATTACAATGAAGCGATTTAAAATAAATGTATTTGTAATTGATAAAAATGTAGAAACAATAACATAGTAATGTGTTGATAATAACAATAATTTAATTGGGTAATAGTAAAATTAGCTATTAAAAGCAGTCCAATATTATTATTGAAGATAAAAGTATTTTTGGTGTACTGGATCGTAAGCCACCTGGTATGATGGGTTGGTATAGAAATCAGTTTGTTGTTGTGGTTGTTGGAGTTGAAGTTGTAGTGGTTGAGAACCTGTGCTGTAGGTCATTGGATAAAATGGATTTGTCAGGAAAGGAATTTGTTGATGTGGTAGTTGTTCATGATGCAGTGGAGGTTGTTGTTGTTGTGGTGCTCTGTTGTCATTAACGGCGTTTTGAAGTTGCGAATGTGAATAAAGATTAAATTTGGCCTTCTTAGGTCTGACCTTGAGAGTGTTTGATCTTCTTTTCGGGCGATATTTGTAACCTGGATTGTCCTTCGAATGTTTTTCTTTCTCTGCTTCTTTTTTATAGAACTCTCTCTCTTCTTTAGGCAGTTGTTTCCACATAAAACCGAGCAATTTGTTTCCTTGAGTCAGGTTGGCACCTCGGTTTGAGCCAAGAGGCTCGGACGCATCATCCTACTGAAAATAAAAAAGCAGTTTGACGAGCGTTTAATCTTTTTGTTGCCGCCCTGTTGCTCAATACTTTTGATTTGATGCTATCTCATATGGAAAATTTTTAATTGGAAAAAACAATGAACTATTATCAACGTATCAACGTTGTAATAAGTTTATATAGTAAAAATTTTGAACAAACTTTAATGAAGGTTACAAACAGAACAATTTTTGTTGATTCTAAATTTTTGCTCTATTTATACCAATTGTGAGGGTTAATTTATCTCCATCGTTTGTTAATTAGTTACGAAACGAAACGATATTTTATTTGTTTCTCAAAATTCAAAAATTTAAAGAAAGCAGGATGACCATAATAGAATTTGTATAAAATTCATCTGGTATGGCCACCTAAACAGAAATGTTCCATATTAACAAAATGTTCCGTAACTAATATAAAAATGTTCTATGTTTAAACAAAATGTTCGGCAACTAATATACAAATATTCAAATTAAATTAATTATTGCGATAATTGGTAATAGTGATGTAACTAATGTTTGGTAGGCACAATTAAATAACTCAAATTACCTATTTCTAAGAATAAAATTGTTTACGCTCTTTATTAAACGTTAATATTTTGTTCGAATGGCATGTTAGTTTTCATTTAAACGTTCTTATCAATCTGATAACAAAAATGTTTTCAAGTTTTTTTTTAAAGAAAAAATATTAAAATAAGATTTAAGAATCCTCGTTTCAGGAGCTTGTTCCATATTCGTTGTTCGACGCAGTACACATGAGAGAACATTATGTTGGTCTTGCTCTTGTTTGACGCCACGGATTGCACAAATCTAGTCGACTGAGTTGGCTTGTAGTATCCGTTGAAAGATGATGGCAACTGGTTCGACAGCTGTTTGTATACGAAGATCGCCACAAATATTCATGGAGACTATCGAAATCCCAATTATTTGTTGCTTTGAAGAGCCTGTCTGTGTGTTCGCTAAAATGCGAATTTATTATCAAACGAACCGCTCTTTTCATCAGAGTTTTGATCGGGTTAGTTCTTGTTCTGTAAGCCGATGCCCACACCAGGCTGCAATATGTAACATGCGTCACACAGAGCGAGTTGTAAATGGTATTTAAGCAATTTCTGGGCAAACGTGACGGAGTTTATTCAAGATACCAATAGCTTTTGAGAATTTGTTTGCGATGTTAGAGACGTGGCACTTGAATGTTAACTTGTGATCGAGTGTTACCCCAAGAAATTTTGCGGTCCAGCTTTCAATGTTGCTGCCGTCGATGTTGATCTTATAGGGCTCCTTATAGTTGAGGTACTGTGTAGGACCAAAAATGATGAACTGAGTTTTCAACTTGTTGACAGTCAGTTTATTGTGTTGAAACCATTGGAGAACTTTAATCGTCTCATCATTCGCTTTTTCAATCAAGTTATTTATACTTCGATCGCTGATGAAAATATTCGTGTCGTCCGCGAAAAGAACAACATCGATCAGCCTGGAAACATTAGGCAGATCATTTATATATATTAAAAACAGCAAGGGCCCTAAAATGCTACCTTGACTCTCAAATCTTTTTTTTTGCATTGTGGAATCTCGACCATTCCATGTAACATACTGGAATCTGTTTGATAGGTAGCTTCTGAACTAACTATAAACATTTCCCCGTATGCCATATTTTTCCATTTTTTGCAGCAAGATGTTGTGGTCAAGGCAATCAAAAGCTCTTGATAGGTCAAGAAATACCCCGGCTGTAAATTTCTTCTGTTTTGCCGCTAAGCCAATTTTGTTAATCAATCGAATCAACGGTAATTCAGTCGAATGCTTTTCCCTAAAGCCATATTGAAATTCTGTCAAAATTTGATATTTTGCCGAAAATCTAATTAAGCGTCTTTGTAATAACTTTTCCACAATTTTCGAAAATCGTGACAACAAGGATATTGGGCGAAAATTAGTGATGTCGTAGTTGTTGGGTTGTTTCAAGACGGGTACCACTTGCGCTGTTTTTAAACAGTTCGGGAAAATTCCGCATGCATACTTAATTAACGATGGATAATAAAACTTACTTAGTAAAAGCAGCCTAATAATTAATATACAAGTTATCCTAACAATCAATGAAAGTTTCAAATTTAAAACTTTCAAAACAAAAATAATAAACAAGAAACAATTTCTAAACAAGTATAAAAGCTTTATTAAGTTGCATAACCTAATCAAACTATTTATTGATAAATTCCAATCTGTTTTATCTTCAATCTAACGTGTTTTCAGACCAAAAGTATTCTGATTTATATTGTCTGACTGCCAATAAAAATTTATTATTTCTCGTTAGAAACCTCAAAGATGTTCTTTCTGGGGAAAGTTTCGAACACGTCAAGACCGACATTAATCTAATTGAATGCATGTTAACAGGTAAGCATTTGTTCGATTACAGATTGAACTTAACATCATTATAATTGTGTAAAAATTTATTGGTTCTTCGTAAGTTTACGAGGAATTTATGATGTAAATTTTACTATCTATATTATTTAATTATTATTTTATTAATTATTATTTATTTATTAAAAAAAACCTTAAGCTTCAATAAAAATTATGTTTTTTTTTAAACCACAGTTATTTGGTCGATTATATGCTTAAATTTTAATCATTTTTTGAACTGATGTATTGATATTATTATTAATATCATTATTGTTATTATTATTATCCCTGAAACTAGTTGTGCACTATACTCAAATATGTTCTGGTTTATTCACACGTTTGTGATATTCGAAGAGGTATCAACACACACACTCCACACACATACCCATACATATACAGACACATACATACGCATACAAACGCACGCACGCAAACACAACACACACACAAAATGATAGGGTAAACGGAAGAATCACTGTATGATTGACTATTTGGTTGATTGATTTGCAGCACTGAACTTTTATAGCCACGACCTACCTCGGAAAACTGGGTCTCTGGACGCTAAACGAAGATTGATTGAACTTTTATAGCTACTCACTTTCCATAAAGGATGTTAGGCTTTTTAAACGTTTTTTTTTGAACCCCCCTCCCCCAAGTCACAAATTGTCACAAATCGACCAACCCCTCAAAAATAAGCATGTCACAAAACCTTACCCCCCTCTCTTACTGAAGAGTCATTAAATAATGTAATTGTTCCATGCATTTTTTTTTATTGATATCAAAATAATGAATGATAAGTTTAAATGACATTAGTTTGATATCTAAATTATTAATATTATTATTATGTTATTCACTCTATTGACATTCCTCAAAGTATGGTACTTTGATTAAATGCTTTGTTGAACTAAGAACTTTTTAACTCTCTTCTGAAATCTTTTACTGGAACAATTTGCTTTACCGTAGTTAGTAAATATAACCAATTAAGAATTAATATTAACTATGGCATTCAAATTTGACTCCTCCTTTAATTAATATTCATGAGCTATTTGCTCGCTTGAAAACTTTAATATTCATTTTGTGCATATATATGAAGGAAATTTTTTTATTGTTTTGTTTATTTAAAAAAAGAGACGTCACACCTGCGTTTACCCCCCCTCGTCACAAAGTGTCACAAATATTTGGACCCCCTCCCCCTTTGAAGCGTGACATCCTTTATGGACGGCCCCTAAAGAAATCGTATATTTTTTCAATTTAAATTTTGTTTAGAATAGTAAACCAGCCAACTCATAGTAGTTTTATCGTAAAGTAACGACGAATAATATTTCTACGAAATGTAACATTCTATCAAAAACACTGCAGACATCGCAGATATCCTTCCGGCACATCCATCTCACTTAAATGGAATTAAAAACATGAAGATTAATGAAATGCTGTGTGCAATGAATGCCCTCCAGCGACTGACATAGGAATTGAAATGAAGCCACTGACTCTTACGATGACCTGAAAACGTCTGCCTGATTATTTACTCTAATTACTCTCGTCAATTACCCGAGCTTAAAATCGTCAGAATATCTCTGCAGCAATTAAACTGTACGTAGGAGGTCGTTGCTACTCTCGTTCATGTGATGTTTATAACTGGAATATAAGATAATACCGTTATATAGAATATCATGATGTCCTCTGACAAAATTAAATTTTTTTTTAATTTATAAATTAAAAAAAATTGTACATTAATTTAATTTTTGTTTGTTTGAAACATACACGCCATCCAAATAATTCCTTATTAAAGTCATAACGTGAAATTGATTAATTAATTTAGTTAGTCGATGGCGGTCCTCTAAGAAATTATTAGGTTCCAAATACTTTTACAAAGAACTGTGTATGTGGATGTTAGGCCGTTGTGGGTGAGTTTGTTAACATGCAATCGACCGCATTAGAACAGTGATGCATGCTAACGTCAAATTCATCAAGCGCGACGATGATTTCATGTGCTGCCTAATTGAAAACGACATTAAACTGATCAATACCCTTCTAAGCGAGAGAGCGCTTCAACTATAAAAGTTTATAATGAAATATTTCAAGCTATTGAATCTCGTACGGAGTTACTTCCCTAAACCTCAACAGCACACGAAATTCGTCATAGTAAAGTAAAATATGGATAAATCTTCTAAACGAGTTAATACAATTGCTTACCGACAAAAAGATTGTGGCTCGTTGAATTCAACCAATCCAAATGACATTCAGGCGGTTGTTCTTAATGAATCAAGTGCCAACAAAACGTTTGCTAATCTTGCTCTGGTTGATGAAAACATTGCAGCAAGTGATGCAGGTGAGAGTTTCAGTCAGATTTTTTAGATTTTGTCCATAAAAAATAAACTCTAACACTGATGGTAGTAATTGTGAGAAAGATGACACTGAAAAAATTATTTGAAAAAAAAACTGAAAAAAACACTGAAAAAAAACCTATTATCAAGTATTACACTTTCTACGATTTAACGCTAGCTAAATTTTCTAAATATTTCTTTGACTGCCACAATAATATAACAACGAATAATAAACTTTTACAGCTAAAAGCGAAGATTCAAACAACACCGATATTAATTTCATTGTAGAAGTTTCATCCCCATCATCCAGCAGTTGTGATGATAAGCAGTTAATTTCTGTCAACCGGGGAAAACGCATGTTCATCCCGTTAAAAAAGTTCAAATTAAGCAAACTGTGGAGGCAACATCGCTACAACGTCAATGATGATGGCTCTGATGATTTACTTTTAATAGAAGCCGAATTGATGAAATCCGTTGATGAATTATCCATAATTTGGTTTGTGTTTGAGTCGCTAGCATTCAATTTCAAGTTATCACTGCTTCTGTTATGAGACGTAGTTTTATTCTCATTATTTTGAGGCGCCAAATTAATATTGTTTCGTTCATGAAAAATCTGAATTCTTTAAACCTTTATTGGTTCCGGATCTTGAACTAATAAAAAATAAGAACCCGTGTGTCTGAAGAGTTCAAACATGCTTCCATGAACCCTAGAGCGGCTTTGCCGAGTTTTAAACTTTTGTGCAATTTGTCAACGTTAAAGTTTTGAATAATTGTTTTGAAACAAATTTAAAAATTGCAAGAAATGTTTCAAACAACTTTTTCAAATTAATTTGGTTAATTAACTTATTATCAAATGATTTTTAAACTATAAAATTTAAAAAAAAAGATTTTTTTCATTTTTTTAAAGTGTAAAACATTGTACGGACAGCAACCGCTCCATATTAAATCGTGTTATGTGGTTCATCTTTATGTTACTTGCGCTTTCTCTGGCAACGTACCAAATAAAAGAACGTATCATGTACTACCTGACGTACCCCACTTCAACAGATTTTGACATCGTATTTTCCGATGGTATACTCCCTCAAGTCACAATTTGCAACAACAATAACTTTAAGAGGTCCTCAGCCGAAACTCAAGGTAAATGAGGTGAATGAATTTAATGCTTTTAAAAAATCACTTTGTAATTATTTCTCAGATCTGATAGAGTATTTCCGGCTGTCAGCCTCTCCTGGCAGACTGGAGTTTCTCAACAACACGGAGCATACCAAAATAAGGAAATTTTTATCTCCAGGACTTGAACAGTTGATAGCTGTTAGTAAAACTTTATTTCAATTTATGTTGTTCTCGACAGGAGCAGGATCTCAAGAACTGTGTTCTCAGGAACTGTGTTCTTGAGATCCTGCTCCGGTCGAGTGTTTGACCAAATTTTAAAATTCGGTCATATTTTCGCCATGACAACATTTCTCATTTCTATTACTATATGCAAGATAAACATAGCTTAATTAGTGACTATTATGGTAAGCGTAAATGTGTTCAAATTAAAACAAATTTATTATATTAATAGCTGCCTATGTGTCCGCTACTACATCTTTAACAACATATTAACAAGTATATTTGGACTCTTCGGAAATCGTTTGCAATTCAGAGGAAAGCATGCTTCCTGATCCAAACTTAGTATCGGCAATCGAAGTTCTTTATTTTCCACATTTGAACTGGATAAACAAAGGAAATAGTACTAAAATCAAAATTTATTATGCAAATTACAATTTTTCATATGTTTTTTCAGTTAAAAATAATGACGTTTTTGACAACATTTTGCAACCGCGTGGTTTAGAGTCTTTGTTTTACAATTCTATAAAATGAATTATAATGTTTCATGAAAAGAATGTCCTCTCCCACTCAACCATTTTTTGAAGGTCGAGAAAGTTTTTATCATGTCTGTATTCCGTGTAGTCGAGTGCCACGAACTTTATAATTTTAATTATAACTGTAAACACTATAAATTTTCTCTTCATTAAATCTCATTTACTCTTGTATCGTACTCAAACGCTCCCGACAATGTAGATTGTTAAATTTCTTGTCACGTAGATCGTTTAATTAATTGATATAATATTGAAAGACATTAAAAGAAGAGAAATAAACTAAGCAACGTTCTCGACTTGTTAATTATCCACCGGATCAACAGAAAAGGAAAAAGTGAAGTTACATACAAAGCAAAGAACATTTGGTCCAAAGAAAAATAAATGTATATTATAAATCATAATGTTTTAATATAAAACTTAAAACTTAACACCTTCTCATTTTATTTAAAACATTAGATGACCTTAACCTAAATGTTCTGAAGACCCATCGCACACATCAGATTCTTTAGTTTTGGTCCTACCATTGGTTTTGTCAGAGCATCAGCAACTTGAAGTTCTGTCGCAACTCGTTCAACTGAAACTTCTTCTTCTGCAACTTTTTCTCTGACAAAGAAATGTCTAATGTGGATGTGCTTTGTTCTTCTGTGAAGTTCTGGATTGTGTGCTAAACGAATTGCTGCTTCATTGTCGACAAAAATTTCTGGCTTTTTCTTTAGATCTACAATGTCGTTCAACAATCGTTTGAGCCATATCACTTCACGAACTGCTTCACTTTCGGCAACGATTTCTGCTTCAGTAGTTGAAATCGCAACTGAGGGTTGACGTTGGCTAAACCAACTGATCACGCTTCCTCCAAACATACAGATTACACTTGATGTCGATCTTCCACTAGATTTATCTCCTCTATGATCTGCATCACTGTAGGCTATAAGTGTATTGTTTTGACCAGACTTGTAAACAATACCGACATCAGCTGTGCCTTGCAAATATCTGAAAATTTGCTTAACTTGTGCTACATTGGACTTGCTGGGTTTCTCTAAACTTCTGGATGCTACTCCAACTGCATATGCAATATCTGGTCTTGTTCCCGTCATCAAGTACATCAATGCACCAACTGCTGATCTGTAAGGAAATTTCACTTCCTCGTGTTCAGTTTTGTTTTCATTGAACTCCTCAGATTTTGAAATCGGAGTTGTACAGGATTTACACTGACTCGTCCCAAACTTTTCAAGAATCATTCTTGTATAGGATGACTGACTGACATTAATATTTCCCTTCTCATCTTGATTAATCTCTAATCCAAGGAAATATGTTGCAGGTTTAGATGTTATCTTGAACTCTGACTTTAATTCTTTTTCAAATATTTTTAGTTCTTCTTTATCAGTTCCTGCAACTAGTCCATCATCAACATACAGGGCAAGTATGAGTTTCTTTCCTCTCTGTATTCTAATGAACAAACAAGTATTTGCATCGCTTTGTTTGAAATGTCTCTTTTTCAAGAATTCAGCAAAGCGTTTGTTCCAACATCTTGGAGCTTGTTTAAGTCCATAGAGACTTCGCCTGAGTTTACAGACTTTTCCTGAATTATCTTTAAAACTTTCAGGTTGCTCCATGTGGATATCTTCATACCTTCATGGATATCTAGTTTGCTGTATAGAAATGCTGTTGACACATCAAACTGCATGAGTGACATCTTTTCATTAGCAGCAACACTTAATAGTGTTCTTATAGTTGAACTTCTGACCACAGGACTAGAGGTTTCTTCATATTCAATTCCCTTTTTCTGAGAAAAACCTGTTACCACTAGCCTGGCTTTAAAACGTTCAACAGAACCATCTGGATTGTGTTTTACCTTGTAGACCCATTTGCATGGTATTGCCTTATGACCTTTTGGAAGACTTACCAAATCCCACGTTTGATTTTCCTTTAATGACTGCATTTCACTGTTCATGGCTTTAAGCCATTCATCTTTTTCATCACTTTGAATGGCATCTTTGTAGCCCACTGGTTCAAGTACTTCACATAATGCAGACATAACGAAAGGATCATAACGAGATGGCTTTTTGATATTATTCCTATCACGTAGAACCATACCTTTGGTCTTTTGATTGCAACAGTCAGATTGATCTTCTTCATCAGATGAAACTGAACTACGGTTGTGAACATCTTCATCAGTTGAAATATTTTCTTTAATCAAAGTTTCTATATTTTCATCTTTGATTTCAACATCAATCGAAACTGTATAATCTGAACAACTTTCTTCTTGCAAAATCACTGAATTTGGTTTGACAACCTTCTCATTAAAAATAACATCTCTTGATCGATGCATTTTAACACGTTTCTTATTCTGATGTCCCATTCGTTCATGGTATAACTGCAATGCATCTTGATCATTGACAAAGTTAACTTCGACTTCAGAATTCAACGGTCTAACAGTTTTTGCAACAAGTTTGAACAAACCACCATTATTGTTTCTTATTCCAACAACATTTATCACATTGTCAATAAGTAAATGACAACTTCTTGAGGTTGAAACAAAAGAGCTATTTCTGTTCTTATCTTGAGTTGCAAGTACTGAGAACAAATTTCTTTTTACTTTTGGCACATACAAGACATCTGTAAGTTTAACAGTTTGCCATTTATTATTCACTTTCACTTGAAGATGAATAATTCCTTTTCCAAAAGCTTCTACAGTATCACCATTTGCAACATATAATTTACTCGGTTGAGAAAATTTTTCAAAACTTTGAAATATGTCTCTTTGGAAAGTTAGATGACACGTTGCACCATTGTCAAAAAACCATTCATCAGTGTACGCTGACTCATCAATTGCAAAAACACTTGATTCCATAACAACTAGTGACTTATTGTCATCGCGTAGATTGTTATTTCTTGGTTTTGCTGGTCTACCATCAGAATGCCATTTTTCACAATTTCTTACAATGTGACCTGGCAATTTGCAATAATGACATATCGGTCGCTTTGGTTTGCTGACAAATTTATCTTGTTTTTGACCATTCATGTTTAGTGATGATGACCTTTTAGTTGTTGCTTTGACAAATAATACTTTATTACATTCTGTTTTGCCTTCCAAAGATCTCTCATAGCTACACAGTTGATCTGTGAGTGTTTCCACTGTTCTTTCAGTCTTGTTCAACAATCTCCAAATTGCAGCAAATGAAAAATATTTTTCTGGCAAAGTTTCAATTATTTGGCACATCAGCAACAAGTCACTGTTTTCATCTTTTCCTAACTCAACCTTTAAATCTTTCCAAAGATTCTTGAGTTTTGTGACATGAGTGACAACATCATCGCTTTCATCCATTTTATAACTAAAGAACTTCATGCACAAGTTGTATGCTTTATCTTCATTAACTTCATCATACAATCTGTGAAGTTCTAACCAAACATCCGTGGCATTACTGAATGAACGAACTTTTTCATACGTTTCATCGGTTATGTTGGTTGACAGAACAATTATAGCACTACAATCTGCTCTGTTGAATCTGTTCAAAGCAGTTTGATATTTTGCTATCTCATCTTTATTTGAGTCATCGTTCGATTCATCTGGAACTTTTAATTTGCCATTTACTACATCCATTGCATCAGGAATGCCGCGTAGTATTATACAAACCCTGGATTTCAAGTTCAACCAATTACTTTTGCCTTCTAGGTGTTTGATTTGCAATTTTTGTCTTTCAATTTGACCTTTTAATTAGAAGCAAAATATCGAATTTCAGAGAATGAAGAAGCACGTGCTTTCTCTTCACTTCAGTTTTCACAAAAGAATCTTTCGATATTTCTTTATTCTAAATTTTCTTCGTCAAATCAATTAATTAAGAAAAAGGTTATCTGGATCCCATAACCTGTTAAATTTCTTGTTAAATAGATCGTTTAATTAATTGATATAATATTGAAAGACATTAAAAGAAGAGAAATAAACTAAGCAACGTTCTCGACTTGTTAATTATCCACCGGATCAACAGAAAAGGAAAAAGTGAAGTTACATACAAAGCAAAGAACATTTGGTCCAAATAAAAATAAATGTATATTATAAATCATAATGTTTTAATATAAAACTTAAAACTTAACATGGATAAGGTTAATGCATATTTTATTTGGTAAAATCATAATACTGCAAAGTTATTTTGGTAAATGTAAAATAATACTTTTTTAATTTATGAATGTTTTTCTAATGAAAAATATTGAAATATTAATGAACATATTCTGTAGCCATTTGATTGTGAAATGTTCTGTGAAATGTGTAGGGGTTACAGCAACTTAGTCACTTTTAGGTGAAAACATAAAACATAAACTCAATAAACTATTTTCTATGTTTAATATATTTTATAAAATATTTTTGTCAATTTTCAGATTGCACAAAATTTTACTTTTATGAAACTAATCAAATGAAAATGGTTCAAACGAATCACCCATTTAATTAAATTTTAAAATTTGTTATTAAAAAGTTTTTCATTTTCAAAAGTTAAAATTATTTGTTCAAAGTCAATATTGCTTTGATATTTATTAGTTGATTTAGTTTGAACACAACTTTTTAAAAATTCAGTGCTTCTGGAATGGCCTAATATGTTCCAGTGAAACACTAAGCACAATTTTCACAAACGGTGTGAATTCCGGTTATTCTGAAATTTGACCTGACTTGAACGGTCTGGACCCCAATCTATTAAAAGAAAATTAAAATTACAGCAGAGTTTTTCATTATTTTGGCGCCATACGCGTTTGAAGTGTACATAAAAATTGAACTAAAATTTTTCTAAGTCTTTATAAAATTATTTAACAGGAAGAACAAGAACTTCTGTTACACGTGGATATGGTTTAATATTAATTTTGTTTGATAACCAATCTGATTATTTAATGCACCAAGATTTCTCACACGGATTCCGTGTAATTATTTTATTCAATTTCTGTTTTTCGTGTTTGTTAGCAGATCTTTTTTACTGTTCAAACATAGTTAGGAAATATTAAATGTTTTTTTTAAAAATCCTTTTCATAAAGTTCTTTGTTCACGAACCAGAAGAAGCCCCAAAAATGTTGGAGCTTGGTTTCAAAATCAATCTTGGTGAAGAAGTTAACGTAGCTGTATCGGTCACAAATGTTAGATATGCTTATAATAAATCGTATTTTTTCATAATTAAATAAATTAATTAAACATTATTTAAAATTGGTCAACCGTTGAAATTTTAAGACTGAAAAAATCATTCGGTAGTTTGCATATTTTACTTAATTTTAAGACAACAAGGTTGAAACCACCACACGGAACGTTCAGTGACCAGCTTGGCTACAATCAAAATAAATGCAAATTGAGGTGTTCAACGGAGCGGATAATTAAACTGTGTGGTTGTAGACTTATCTTCATGGAAGGTAGCGTAATAAAATCATGTACTTTTAAATATGATGAATTAAACCATTGTGAAACTTTCAATTTTAGAAATCGGCAATGAATCGATATGCACTTACAACAAAGAAGTTTCTTGCTCAAAAAAATATTTTTATGTTAATTTTACTAAAAATTTTCACAAAAATCACTGCAACTGTCCAGCAATGTGCAACGAAATAACTTACCAGACGTCAGTCACCGGATCAAAAATCGCCAGCATGGATCTGAATTATGATTATTTCAAAAATTTTGAGGAAAAATCTTTAGATTTCAATCCGAATAATTTCCTCCTACTACGAGTATACCTGACCAACATGCAGTCCACGAAAATTTCAACCGTCAAAGCTTATTCAGAGATGGCGCTGTTGAGTGACTTGGGTGGAGCTTTGGCACTTATTCTCGGTTCAACTTTCTTAACGGTTGCCCAAATTTTTGATCTCATTTGGAACTTTTGCTACTACATTTACGCCAAGAAGAAAAAATCAGCAGAAATACAGATTATGAAAAATTGATTTGGTCAATTTTATTAAAATGGCTGTTTGTGTATGCATCTATTCGTAATAGTTTCATATGAGAGGGATTTACATTACAAATTTTATCGGAACAAAAAATATAATATGGAAGCTAAAAAATTGTTACTTCTTTAGGACAAAGGAAGATTTAAATTATTATTTTAATCAATCATTATTAACTCTAATAAACACACACACATACACATTTTCATTCATTTTCAAAATTTATTAATAATCAACAACATATCAAATAAGTGAATAAAAGTTATGAAGTTAAATATGCGGATACCGAATAAGACTGCAAGTCTTGTGGTGGCTACCGCAGGTAGATATATGAATAGTTAATGAAATGAAGTAAGAAAAATAACTAGGTGTTATAGCCTACATACATAAACATATAAATATATAAATGTTGGTTCAGTACTTATATAAACATATAAATGTTTAATCATTCATAAAAACCATTTAGCCGCTTCATTTGTTCTCACATCTCACGTATTCATAATATAGTATTCATAATATAGTATTAATATATACACATGCACATATATATCTACCACAAAAACAAACACACGCACATACATGTACACTAAAATATTTAAAAACACAAATTTTCAAACTGAAGTTTTGTTGGTCATCGTTCTCAATAATGTTTTAAGCTCATAATTATCCTTATATCATGAAAAATCTTACTAATAATGATAAATTCATTAATATTAATTACCTCATCAATATTCATAACATCAAGTCCACTTAGCACAAAGAGCAAAAGATCGATGAACAGACATCATCATTCCAGACTGGCCGACCCGACTATCTTATTTTCCACGCAATAATCTCTACCGTCTGCCGGACTGTTTGTTTCACCAGCTCCCCAATTTTTGATATTGAAGTGGAAAATATACTCCTAGGTGTGTTTTGATTGGTTACTGAGTATTGATTGGTTGAACAAGTTTGCGTTTTAATTGATTGTTCATATAATAACAAAAGTTTGGAAATATTAAACTGGGAAAAAATTAAACACTGTGATATTAACAGCAAAATTAAACATAAAAAATTAAAGAAGACGCTATAACCGGGGTTGGGACACCATCAAAAAGTTTCCTCACAGAGTTGAAGTAGGCAACTGCTGGTCCTAAATTTCAACTTACATATCGTAGTCGACACTATAAAATTTGATGTGTCTACAAAAATTTGTTCTCCGGTTTCTCTATAAATCCACTCAATTGATTCATCTCCGACATTATTCAATAATTTTTTAAAGGTCGTGTCAAAATAGAGTCGGACATCCGTATTATCAATTTGACATTTCCAGGAAAAAAATTTGTTAAATAGAAATTTCGTAAAATAGAGCTTGCTTGGAAAAAAATTATATATTGCCTAAAGGTTATTTATACATTTATAAAAAAATTTGCTAATAATTTATTTTAGTAACAGAAAGTATATACATGGTAAACTTGTAAAAAAATAAAATTTATTCTTTGCTCCATGCAACGATGATTACGATTCCATTAAAATTAATCAAAGTAGAATACGTCAAATTTACTAGAGGACTAGTACAAAAATATTGAATGTTTTTAGGATATTAAAGGAGTAAAAGAATGTCTGCTCGTCGGATATTTTTTTCAACTTTTATAAATTTTGTTCGTTTTTGCTCAATTGAAAAAGTTTTTATGTAAAACTTCAAGGAACATAAAAAAATTGTTTTATAGAGAATTTCGTTTTACGCAAGTTTGCTGTGAAGAGGTCCGACTGTATTAACTATCAGCAGGCATAGAGGTCAAGAATGGTTTGCTCCATTTGATCAACAATGGTTATGAGATGAGATGATGATCAGAGGCGCCGACTTGCCGAAATATTGGGGATGATATATTATACTATATGATGTATACTGTTTCATTATAGTGTTATATATATATATATATATACCTAATGATATATTATACTATATGATTATACTGTTTCATTATAGTGTTATATATATTTATATATATATATATATATATACCTAATGATATATTATGCTATATGATTATACTGTTTCGTTATAGTGTTATATATATACACGTGTGTGTGTTTCAAACTTATATAAATATAGGAAGTAATAAAATAAAACATTCAAACAAAAGTAAAACAATGGAAATGTTTTTAATTGTAAATCATTTCGTTTAAAAAAATCATTACGCTACATTGTAGAGCCTCTCCTGTCCCATTGTGTATCGCAGATACGTTTTTAAACATTTTAAGGCTGAGAAACTTCTCTCTGCTGTGCAAGTTGTTACAGGTAATGTCAAAAAAGGCATTAAACATTCAAAATTTCCGAAAACATTTTCTTTAGATCAATAACATCTTGTATACTTTGGATTTCTTTTTTTGAATTACTACAATCGTACTAGCATCTGTAGATTCATCAATCATTATTGAGTAAAATGGGGCAAAAAAAAACAGTTCAGATATAAATATTTTTAAAACTGAAAATGCCAACATTTCAATGGTTTCAATCTGGATTTCACGTGAATTCCATTTGTATCCGCTTCTTTTCAGCCAAGAGCTCAATTCTTTGCTATCTTCACAATGTATTTTTAACAAATTATTAAAGTTGGCAGTACTGTCCGTTTTACCCCATATTGCAAGCCCTTGTTTGCATAAGTACTGCGAAAATGTAACAATTTTGAAAAAAACAGTTCTGTTACCACATCTTTCTGTATAAAAGAGTTTTGGTGACCTAGAACATTTGTGCCTAGATTTACATTATTTATTTTCAAAACCGCTTCCTGGTGGCTTAGTGATTTTTCGTGAGCTTTAAATTTGTCTAAGGCATGTTTCCAGTTGTTGAATCCTTTTCTGGTAAATGCGTGATCCTGTTTACTTGAAAATTGAAAGAGATTATTAAGTTCATAACATTGTTGACAAATTTCTCAAAATGTCTCATCTTCAGCAAGCTCATATTTTAATAAGTATGTTTCTTCATCCAAAAAGATTGAAATTTTTTTCCTTTTCTCTGATTCCAAACTAAAAATTTCTAGTGGTTTTTGAATTGTTTTGTTACTGGTTTTGTCAATTATCCCTTCCATGATGTCATTGTCATCTATATTTCTTAAAGAACTTGTAAACTTAGAAAAATCAATTGTAGTTTGTCGACGTTTCATTTTAAACCAATTAAAAAATGATTTACATTTTTTTTTAAATGATATTTAAAATTTATTTTTATAATGATTTTAAATCTTAGTCCGCTTATCAAACAATTCAACTTAAATCAAAAATAGAAGAAAAATAACAAAGATACTTCACTATTTTTTCTTAAATTGAGGTATACAAATCTCAAGAAGTAAATATGAAGTTAGAATGGAAAGTTTAAAAAATATATAAAATTATATCTAATATAATATTCAATTTCTATAACAAAATATTGGGGGGCTCAGCATTGTGCGGGCCCGAGGGACTAAAAATTCTCATCTTCTTCATCATCGTCAGCAATATCATCAGTTTCTTCATCGTCTTCATCAATATTTGGTTTATCATCATTTTTTTTGCAACGTTATCATCAAACTTATAATGAAAATAAGTTATGACGACACGATCTTTCTTTTCCTCATCACTGGTAGTATCAAAAACATCATCCATGTCCTCATCACCATCAACTCTATCATTAAAATTGTCAGATGTTAATTTCATCCGTCTATTATTTGTTGCATAATCATCAGCTCTGATATCTTGAAAAGGCAACGCGTGCGATGCATTTGATGATGACGATGTTGTTGATAATGAACTCTTATCATTCGGATACTTGCTCAAGTCGATTCTTTGTAAATAAATTTCATCAGTACCGGATTCAGTATAATGCTGTGCAACAGTATAAAGGCAGTTGTTGAAGAGGAAGGATGGAGAATGAATCACAGGCGGCTTTAACTTTATCACAATGGACAGTAACAAAATCATACATCTCTCTTTTCTGTGTATTAATTTTTTTTAAATTGTATAATTAATTATTTAGGCACATCTAACCTAACCGTCAAATGAAATAAGTAAACAGTGAAAATTTTAAAATTAAAAAAACCAAAACATTATCAACAAGCGCAAACCCGGCATTACCAAACGTCATTATCTACAACAACCATTCAGCTACACCAACAAAGATGACAAATACAGGCAAAATGCTAACCGTCGAAGCTCTTTCGTTCACGCCGTCAACTGCAAAGAGCGCGTTTCCAACGCTGGCCAAAACGTGGCCATAACGCTTCCTCAACTGCCGTTGCGATTCGGTGGGCTGGAGATGCTTAGCATGTTTCAGCTGGCTCCAATTGTTTATAATTCTTCTGCCGCTGTCCCTCATGACCTGCAGTCCCGGTTACAAATCTGTGTGCCGGTGCACGTAGCTTTGCGGTTGCTGGACCAACTGTCTGGAATGGAATGCTGTCTTTACTCAAGGATCCAAAGTTGACTATGGATTGCTTCGAAAAAACTTTAAAACGTTTTTGTTCACATTGTAATGAAAAAGTTTAATGTGTGAATTTTTTTTACTTTTTTTATTTATATTGTTTGGATGAACTTTTTTTTATCTTTTTTTTATTATTCTTTAAAATTCTGGATCTGACAGATTCAGAAACTGTTACAGCAGCAAGGCAGAGGCAGTAGTATAATATTAAACGAATAAATAAATAAATAACGGAGAAAGAAAAATGTTTAAACATGAAAAGTAAAATAAAATAGAATATAATAAATAATAATAATAACATAAATAAAAAAATAAAATAATTGTAATAATAAAATATAGACAATAAAATGAAGTAACGGCATGAAAAGGCAAATTAATAGACTAAATGATGACTTAGTGAGGTGATCGATAAATAAAAACTAGTTGTGTGAATGATGAAGTTTTATTGAGTGTGAATATGTTTGAGGTGTCTTGTGATGAAGGTCTTTTCCTGATATGTAGATTGGGCGACGACTTGATAGTTATGTTTGCGCTGACGAAGGTTGTGTGTTGTAGTTTTAATTGGTGGTAGTAGAGGATGGATGACGTGGTTGAATCACTGAATCACTCATAATCTCACGCATCACACTATTTTAAATCATCATCTGAGATCTGATGATAAGAATCTGCTGGTGATTCCGACAAGGCAATTACAAATTGGTTCGCGTGATGTTGCCGCAGCTTTGGAACAATCTGCAAGCGACGTTGACTGGACCTAGGCTTTCTTTTGCAACATTTAAAAAAGATTTGGAAACATTTTTTTTTCTGTTTAGTTCAGTGATCTGTTTGCACATTTTATGTATTTATTAGGCAGATTCCTTGAACTATGTATGTATAATGTTGCAACACAAAATAAAATTGATTTGTTTACTAAGGACAAAACAAAGTTGTCAAAATATGAATTGAGGTCTGTTGATTCAAATTGAAAGTATTGTATACAAACAGTGGCGGATCTAGGAGGGCCCGTTGTGTTCAATTTTTTAATACAATCAGAAAAAGGATCGTTTTATGTATAAAATCAACCAAAAAAGTCATCTGCCAAACTACCACAAATCTTGTTGCCCCCGTGAAAATTGTGGGTCTCCCGACAAAATTTTAACATTTTCAAAATTTTGACCCCCCTCCTCAAGGTTGTCTAGATCTGCCACTGTACACAAAATTGTTTTGTTGCTGTTTTCAATAAACCTGTCTGCTGAATAATTTCAGAAGTTTTGATTAACTAGCAACAAAATTTGGATTTGGCTGAAAATACGGCTGGCAATTAAAATACTCCATTAATTTTGTTAATGCGTTTTGGATTAACTTTTTAAAAGATTTTTAAACACATAAATTAATTTTCAATTTTTTTCAAATTCTAAAAAGAAATTTTTAAAACTTGATAATTCAAAATCATTACAATCAACTTTTTTATCATCATCATGACGTCATTTCCATCTTTATCATTATCATCATCATCATCATCATCATTATCAACATAAAATTACAACAAACATTCAATGGTAAATTTGATATCATCAATTTTACCACCAGTTATATCCAGATAATAATGACTTATAATTCTTGACGTGATTAAAATTTTCATGTATGAACAACAATTTTTCTACATTGTTTGGTGTCAATGAAAACTTTTCCTTGTTGCAGATAAGATGAAAAACATTAAATCAACTGGTATGAATTTTTTGAATTTTTATATTCTATAAAACAAAATATTTTCAATTTGTTAAAAAAATAAAAATTCATTGAAAAATTATTTTGTGTCACTATTGAGCATTTTTTAACTGTTTAATTAACATTTGGCAGTTGGTTCGGCTAGCCAAAAAATTATTCAGCTGCTGACGGCTAACGGTAGAAAATTCGGCTGCGGCGGCTGACGGCGGCCGCTGATAGGTCTAGTTTTCAACTTTAGTTTAATCCTTGACTTCTATATTACCAAATCTTTTTTCATCGTTTATATTAAACGCCTTTCTTGAAATTTTTTTCTTGACTATGTCAGCAGTATTATCTACGTTGTTTTTTTATCAGGCTTTCAAAACTGGGAAGTTCAGCCGTCAATGTTCAAAAGCCATTATTATTATTATTATTATTATTATTATTATTATTATTATTATTATGAATGTTTAATAGGCGCTTTTTCAATCTTCTCAAAAACGCCATTAACTAAAAGTATCATTTGCTCAGAGAAAATAAATAAGCTTTCAATTCTTTTCGAAACTTTCCAAGGGAGACACCCGGATCACGTAAGTACTGTGGCAGACTATTCCAGATCGTCGGTCTTACAATAGAAAAATTACGTGATCCAATCTTCAATTTAGCAAAAGGAACTTTTAACAAATCTGAACAATCTGAACGCAGTCGAAGTCGATGCATAGGAATATCCCTCTGAACAACTTTATCTTGAAGGTATTTGGGAGCCAGGCCATTTCTGCATTTATAAACCATCACAGCAATTCTGAAAACAATTCTTTTTTCAACAGTTAACCAATGCAATTCACTCAAAATTGCCATGTACTGCAGTCATCCTCATTCACGATTATATTGGCTTCAGTGAAGAGGTTGTATATTGTAACCTAGTTTTCTTTGCAATGAAAAATAATGATATCGTAAAAATTCAAATGTACTATAACTAAATTTTAATTGTGATCAAAACTCGATAACATGTGGTCTGTGTTTTAATGAATTATTAATAATCAATGAAGCAATAAATTATTTTTAGTTTGAGGTTTTTGTGCATTTTTGTGTTTGTACGTGTGTGAGTATACATTTGTTATTGTGTATGTTTGTTGTTTTGTTCTTTGTTTTTGAACATTTAATCGTGCGATCGCGTCCGTATAATGCGTTTGCTTACTTTGGGACAGCCTCTCAAGCACCGCTCAACCCATAACTTTGCTAAGTTTGCCTTGTCATGGGCAGAAAAACGCCAGAGACAACAGCTCGTATGGTAAGGTTAATCCAATACATATAAGTATATGTACAGTACATACACAATTGATATACAATATATAATAAATAATTTATAACATGCATAACATAACAACATATATTTATATACACACATATATACACACATAAAAAGGAAAATTAATATTAAAATTAAATTTATTGACCGAAATAAGATAGTATTGAACTTACAACAAAAAAATTTACTGAGATTTAAGTAAGTTAAATAAATTTAACAAATAATCACAAATAGTAATTAGCATATTAGCAAAGCATTGACGTAATATACAAGGACAATCATTTTCCTTCGCTCGCACTCGAGCTCACATTTAGAAAAAATAGGGAAATCTCAGACCGGAAGTTGCTCTATTTGCACAAAACAAACAAGTGCAACACTTTTTCAAGTGCACATATCTGTGGTTCGTGTGTTCACACATTCACACAGCGCACGCAAACAAATGTCCAGGGAACGCTGCCAGAAACCATCTCTTCCTCCTCCGTAGTATGACACATACATTGGCATATTACAAGCAATAGCATAGATAGAAGAACTACACAGTTTAATGGCAGAAATCTAAGCGGACTGGAGTGGAGTGGCACGTTCATTCACACCCACACACATGAACTCACACACCCACCCACACCCACACACAAATAAATTTATAGCATATTGTCATATAGCAGAGTGGAATATATAGCATATTGTCACGAATTTGGTCTTCTGCCAGCATATATATAATATGTATAAATTATTTTATTATTTTATTATGTAAATATATCGTATACATATGAAATATATACATTTATATGTGTTTGAGTTTGTGCGTGTGTGTGTGTACGCGTGTTTGTGTGTGGGGAGGGGTGTGGCGACGTGTGAATGTGCTTAAACATTTCTAATTGAATTAAAATTTAAAAAAATTGAATCGACAGCTGAAATATAAATTTTGACTGAATCGTAAATTAAAATAAAATTCAATCGTGAATGCGATATTTTCATTAAAACGAAAATTGGTTTTTAAAAAAAATTTTGCAATTGCACGTGAATTCTTCTTTAAATAAACGAATTAAAGTCATTCTACCTGCTTATCAGTCAGCGGCAACTACACCTTTGATTAGTTACATACAAACTTCATCAATTCGATAACTCAGATGCATTTAATTTACAGCGCAGCGTTCCTTTGTACATTGGGGTTGATTCAATGCTCCGGTCCTTCGCCAGGTTTTGAATTTTGCCAAATAAATTTCTGCTATAAATATTTCTAACCTGATGTTTTATTACTTTTAAATTACTTTGTTGCAATAAAAAAATCTGTTAAACTGCTTGAAGATGAGTCTTAAAAATGAGTTTAAAAAATTTATAACTTACGCGAGTGCCCTGTAACATTTAATTACACTATCAACATGGACCATAGTGGTGCTAAAAAAAAATTCAATGTTCCACAATATGAAAAAAGAGAGGTTAATTTTGTTTTTTTTTATTGATTTAATGATAACTAAAATGAATGAAGATTTTATTTTCAGAATTATTGCTACTACGAAGATCCTTAAACTTACGATTCATTTTGGCATAATTTTCCTGAGGAGCTGCCAGGCGATATCACAGTGGTAATAGTTTTGAAACCTTACAAATATATTAATTACATTGAGGAATTAATTCAATATAAAATTTCCAAAATTTCAATTGACAAATTCGGCTCCAACGAACATAACGATAACAATAACCACTAATGTTTCTACAAAATCCAGCAGGGTTACTTCTTTTAAGGTGGCAAAAAGTACCGCACTGAACAAGAGCCTTTCTCAAAATGTACAGAAAACGACCCGATGACCTACATTGAAAAAGTCAAGTATGCTGTTTGTCTGGATAGAATAGAAAACTAATGAGATGATTTTAAATTGTTGAAAATTTATTCATTAATTAAACTTTAAATTATAAATACGGATTTACCATTTAAAATTTGTTGATTCTAGGCATTGTTTTAGAATTTTATCTCCTCGTTTATTCAAATTTTTGCTCATTTCAATGTAAGATCGTGAACGAAAATTAGAAAATAAATATGAATCAAATTAAAACGTGGTTCATGGAAGTCAAAATTTTAACCAACATCATAAAGACAGTCACAAATTATCACTTAATCAATCCGACTTGGCAAATCAACTCTCGTGCATACAACAAAAAGATCTAAACATGAATAATGTTGCAATTGGTATATCGTTCTCAAACTGACAATTTTACCAGTACTGCCACTTATTTTCTAACACCAATCTAGTATCACATTCATCATCATACTGTTAGTATAAATATTTTATTCATCAACAATCGTATTTGGTCTGTCAGCAACATGTGATAATTACTAACTCAACTTCATTAATGAAAAATATTTTCTACTAAATTCAATCCATAATTCATCATCGTTTCGCTAACTTTTAAAAATTGTTAATTACACTTAAAAATTATATTTTACACTTCATAGGTAATTTTACATTTATAATTGATATATACATTCATTTACCACATTCATTATTCTATACTTGGGCTCCGACAATGGCAATTCGAAAAATCGAATGCAAACCGCTTCAGCTAGTTGAAATTTTATTTAAAAAACTGATAAATGTTAAAGAGAGCATAACATTCAATCAAATACCAAAATATATATATATAATTATAATCATAGACAGTTGTTAGGAACTATCACAGCATTTTCAGCTATATATATATATATATATATATATATATATATATATATATATATATATATATTATTTTAAATATTAAGTTTCATTGCGTATCTACTATATATATATATATATATATATATATATATATATATATATATATATCATTATTATTATTATCAGGACATTTATACAGCGCCAATTAAATTATTATCTCAAAGGCGCCATCATAAATAATGCAATAAATTCATGAATGACCGCATCTATAAAATCTATAAATAAATTCAATAAATCATAAACATAAATTGTTTGTTACAACAAAAACTGGTAAGTTTTCAATAATTTCTTAAACATAATTAAATTTAATTCCTGATTTCTTAAATAAAAAGGAAGGCTATTCCACACAGCTGGTCCACAAACTGAAAAATTTCTTGTTCCAATCTTCAAACGGGTAGGCGGAACCATCATGTAATTCAATTCATCACACCGAAGTCGATTGTTCGTGTTGAAACCACTCGTGGCAAACATTTGTCAACGAGGTATTTTGGTGCGCATCCATTCAAACATCTGAACATGATCATAGATATTTTAAAAATCACCCTTTTTTCAATCGTCAACCAGTGCAGTTCTTTAAATATAGGAGTTACATGATCAAACTTTGCCCCATCCACCACGACTTTTGCTGCACGATTGTGAATAGACTGAATCATAGCAATTGACTTCTCCGGCAATCCATAATACAAACTATTACAGTAATCGAGTCTCGAGTGAATGAATGCATGAACCAAACATTCAGCCGTTTTTTTATCTATTGATCTTCTTATCAAATTCAATTTTCGTAATTGAACAGTACATACTCTGGATAAAAATTTTATATGTTCCACCATTGTCAATCTGGAATCTAATATCCAACCTAGACTTGTTGCTGTGGAACAAAATTGTATATTCAAATCGTCAATCAAAACAGAATCTATATTCATCTTAGAAAGCTGCTGCCATGTACCAACTGGCAACAGTTGAGTCTTGCTCCGATTTAGCCTCAATCGATTTGTTGCCATCCAGTCATTAATATCCGATAAACACTGGACAAAGTTATCAACTATAGATTGGAATCTTTCTGGGGGTCCATTTACTGTTATCTGAATATCGTCTGCAAAAGCGTGACCCATAAATCCATGAAAATCCAGTATATTAAAAATCTCAGCCGTATATAACAAAAATAATATTGGTCCTAACACCGAGCCCTGCGGCACACCAGTTGAAACCAAATGAATTGCCGATAAATCATCCATAAATAACACCTGTTGCGTTCGTTGTAACAAATAAGACCGAAACCATAATTCCACTGTACCTGATAAACCAAAACAGATCGCCAGTCGTCTTAAGAGGATATCGTGATCAACGCAGTCAAAAGCTGCGCTCATATCTAAAAATACCAGCAGGGAGGAATTTCCAACATCGATGTTTTCCAACAAAACCGATAAAACCTGCAACAGAGCCGTTTCCGTTGAATGATGTTGTCTATATCCTGACTGAAACACAGGCAATAAATTGTTCTGGCGTATGTGTGTCAACAGCTCCTTGGCAACAATTCTCTCAATCACCGTTGAAATAAACAAAAGATTGGACACTGGTCTATAGTTGTTTAAATCATTAATGTCCATGCCCGGTCTTTTTAACAGCGGTGTAACAATCGCATGTTTAAGTCTGTTTGGAAAGTTGCCTTATTCGAAACAAAGGTTAATAAAACTGGTTAAAAACCTAGTAAACAAATTTATATGTTTCTGAAAAATGTGCGTAGGCAAAATATCCAACGAACATGATTTTGATGGAGAACTTAGAACTATTCTTTTAACATCATACTGGAAAAGTAGAGAACACATTTTCAACTTTGAACTCTGACTGATTGAAGTTTGGATAATCTGCAGTCTTCGTCGATTCTCGAACTTTATCTATTTTATTATTGAAAAACGTTAAAAATTTTTGAGCTGTATGGTCAGTGGCATCTTTTAAACTGCTACTACCAATTTGCTTACACAGCAATTTATTAATAATACTCCAAATTTTTTTGGATTATTTTGATTTTCCTTAACGAGCTCCTTCCAATATAGATTTTTCTTTTGAGTGTATATGAAACTTTTTGTTTTCATGGCCATTACCCAGTTTTTTTTATCTTCTTCCTTCAACGTTTATCTATATCGTTTTTCCATTTTTCTACAATAGGCCTTCGACCGTCTACATTCAGAATCAAACCAAGGTGCCATCGAATCATCTCTAACCTCAACCATGCGATAAGGTGCAACTATTTCAGTGATTTTTGTCATTTCGCTTTCAAATAAATTCCATAAATCATCAGTATTTTCACCCTGGCATAATCTATTTAAAGGAGAATCAAGAACCAAAGAAATAAAACGATCATGATTCATGTTTTTCCAAGATCGAACCATCCTTTCTTTTTCATTCTTATAACTTGATCAATTGATAAACATGCCTGAACCAAACCATGATCAGAGAAAACTCCCGGAGGCAGAACTCTAATATCGAAAACTGGAAAAGACATAGAAGTGATAATCAGGTCTAACACACCTCCTAATTCATGCGTTGGTTCATTTATTCTATTAACAAGATTAAAATTACCAAAAATCTCACATAATGACACACTGTGAGGATCCATGTGTTTCTCTACATGCACATTAAAATCACCAGCTAAGACAACATTGTTACTAAGCAAGGATAGTATCTCTAAAACAGCAACAAGTTCCTGAAAGAATAAAGATGAAATTAAAGCCGATCCTGGTCTATAAACAGCCAATAAAACAATATGAGTTCCATTTATTTTTAATTTAATGTCTAATGTCTCAAAAGTCTTTAACACAGGTAATCTGATGAGTTTAAAATTAAAACATCTTTTAAAATAAATTATTAATCCACCATGAAATGGATCATGAGGTCTGACAAAATCCACAAAATTATAACCTGGTGGCATTGTCCGCCTAACAGCAATTTCATTACTAGACCCATGCCATGTTTCAGTCAAAACTAAGATATCCAAACCATCGCAAATTACCTCATACACGTTATCATATTTCGACAAAATTGACCTAATATTCAAAAGCCCTAGTCCTATTTTAACATTGTTAAGCATTTTACAACCATTGTTTTTCTTATGACTTTTACCTTTACCTTTTATGACTTTTTGAAACTCACGATCTGACCCTGTATAAAAAACCTCCCGTACATGCAGCTTCTCTTGACTTTGATATATATATATATATATATATATATATATATATATATATATATACTGCTGCATAAGTTCTTCATATTTCAGATTATTTATCTTTGTCTAATTTGTTATCTATTCCTAAAATATCGTTCTCAGATTGTTATTATTATTCGTGTTTAATGTTATAGTTTAGAAAAATTTGTTATGTTTAATTCATATTTAATTAAATCTTCTGAATATTGCAAAAGAACAACTCGGCACACTCCATTATACAATTTTATTGTTCCTCCTATGGCTTTATTTTCATCTTCAGATTTTGTTTTTAGTTTAAAACTGTGGTAAAAGTTTTACAAGTTTCTAACTATGGGCTATTTAAACAATCAAGTTTTGACTTAATTAAGAACAACTTTTTTTTACATAATATGATTTAATTATTTCAATTATTTAAGTTATTTTATAAGGAAAAAAGTCTAATATGAATTTAATTGTTTTGTTTAACTTGATAAAATTTGTTGATCATTTTTGTTCTAAGTAATTTCTGCTCATTTTTGGTTTAATTTAATTTGTTTTCATTGGCTAGCAATACGAATTTATTTTTATTTATGTTGTTATTTTCATGTAGGTATATGTTTTTATTTGGTTTATGTGGCCGTACAAGCTTGTTTGAGCTTCTGTGTCTCCATGCTTTTTTTCTTGCTGAAATAAAATATATTCATACATATAAATTTTACAAATTACGTTAAAAATTTCACACATCACATTACAAATTACACATTATAATTCTTTTTACCACCACCTCCATAACAGCCAGAACAAGGACAAAGAATATGAATATTTGTATAAAATTCCAGTATAAACAAAGAACCAAATAATCAAGTATTACGATTGAAGTTTGTAATATCTATTCATGTTTACTTGCTGTATATATAACATCCATTATCGCTTTGATAGCCTGATGCAAGACAACAGGCGAAAGAGATTGATAAATCGATCCAGAAATTTTGAGTTGATTTGATTCAAATGTTTCGATTTGAAATTTAATTATTTCAGATTTTATTCAACTGCAATCTTTTTAATTTTGTTTCCTTTGGTGAATTGAAATTAGTTATAAATTTAAAATATCGGGCGGTAATAGGGAATTTATTCCTAGATTCTTTCCTTTCCCTCTTTCCACACTACTAGCTATTTATTTTTGTGATCAAAAATTCTATAAATCGGAAAGAAAAATTGAAATACGGTTTTACCTATACAAAGTTTTCAACAGCTGCTAAATAGCGATGGATCTGAAAAGAAAAGCTATGGAAGATGAATTGGCCATTGTTCCGGTAAAGAAGACTAAAACTGATATTGTTGGCTTTGGCACACAAGTTAACAACGCCATCGAACTCTTGGGCGGAATCAAGCGGACCTCAAAACTCCATGCCCCGATCATGTTACTGACGGGACACGAAAGTGAAATTTACTGTTGCAAATTTTCTCCTAGTGGGAAGTTCTTGGTTTCAGCTGGCACAGATAGGATGATTTTGTTATGGAATGTGTACGGAACCTGCGACAACATAGCAACTCTGAAAGAGCACAGCAATGCAATTATGGATTTGCATTTTACTACCGACGGATGCCAGATGCTTACATGTTCAGCGGACAAGACTTTAACTTTGTGGGATGCGGAGTGTGCCACGAGAATCAGGAAGTTTAAAGGACACCAGACGTTCGTGAATGCTTGCGATGTGTCGAGGAGATTTCCAAAGTATTTGTGCAGTGGTAGCGATGATGGCACTGTTAGGATCTGGGACTCAAGGCTCAAGAAGTCGATCCTAACTTTCCAGAACACCTTCCAAATCATGTCGGTCCGTTTCACAGACACCACCGAGCAGGTCATCAGCGGCGGTATTGATAAGGATCTTAAAGTTTAGGATTTACGAAAGAATGATGTGGTATTCTCGATGAAGGGTCACATGGACACGGTTACGGGAATGAGGCTGAGCCCTGATGGGTCCTATTTGCTCTCCACTGCTATGGATAATACGGTTAGGATATGGGATGTCAGGCCGTATGCTCCCCAAGAAAGATGTGTTAAAATCTTTCAGGGAAACCAGCATACATTTGAAAAAAATTTACTCCGCGTTTCGTGGAGCCCAGATGGCACTAAGATAGCAGCGGGATCAGGGGATAGGATGGTCTACATTTGGGATACGACGACGAGAAGAATACTATACAAGTTTCCTGGACATGGAGGATCAGTTAATGAAGTAGATTTCCATCCACTTGAGCCAATAATTTGCTCTGGATCGAGTGACAAGCAGATTTACTTGGGTGAAATCGAGTAAATGTTTTGCCGGATCGTTTTTATAGATATTATTGCAGGTTTATTATCATTATTGTTATTATTATTATTGTTGTTGTTGCTAGATTTCTTTTAAAGTTTTTGTATAGATAGATTTATCAAATACGTTAAAATTAGTAACATGTGCAACTGTATCTGTGGACTTTACGATTAATTGAATTTTTTTTAAATTATTAAAATAAAATAATAAAATCTAATTAATTTTACGGTAGTTATTTAAAATAATCCTTAGTAATTTTATTAATTAATTGAATGTCAAGTCGATTGATTAAACCTTAAACTTGAGTACATCTAGCTTCAGACAACTTGTAGTGCTTTCACTAATATTATTATTACTATTATTGACAATAAGAATAATAATTATTATTATTGCGATTATTAATTATAATAAAAATCAAAGAAAAATAGCAGCTGCAAACCAAACTGACATCCTCAAATTTGGAAAAAATTTTATTACATAAAAAAATGTACCGTTCGAATTTAACAGCAAAACCGCATTGGATAATGTTGATGATGATCATGATAATGTAGATTGTCATGGTAAAGATGTTGATGATGGTGGCTGTGATGATGATGATTGTAAGATGGTATTGATCATGGTTGTTGGAAATAAAAAGTTTGAAGTAAACGTTATGTAAAACGTAAGTAAATTAGGTAAAAGTGTGCTGATAGCATAATTTGAACTAAAATAATAATACCAATATTATTTTTATTGTTATTTATTATTATTTTTATTATTATTGTCAGTGAAAATATATCAGTACAAGGCTGCCGGGTTTATACATATTATATATATATATATATATATATATATATATATATATTTATATATATATATATATATAAATATATATCATGATATCCAATAATATATATTCAACAACGGGCATTTGGAATTCTTCCCACCAATAAATTTAGAAACAGAGAAATCATCGATAATGAAAACACGTGAAGTGTTATATTTATCAATAATAAAAACACATAAAAGTGTTATATTTTTAGAAGTGTTCAAGAATCACAGGGGCGATTCGTCTGCGGATTCGCTGAATTCCATTATGTCGTGCTTGCTGTTGAGTTGTGCACGAACTCATGACATTCTAAGCCGATCTACTTCATTATCATTTGCTAAATAACGCAATTCTTATATAGCAATGACTATTTTTTTGATCTGTCTCTTTTTGGTCATCAGTGCGATTGGCACATAAAGTAGCTCTTCGCACTTTGATTGTAAATTGTGCATAATCACAGTAAGAAAATTTTTCACTCATTTAGCAGTGACAATAGTAATCTTACTCTTCTTCTTCTTGCTCTTGACTTTTTTTCTGCTTCTCATAATGTTGATCATACTATTCTCTTCAGGCTGTTAGATATTTTTTTTAATGTTACTGATTCTTGTGTATCTTGGTTTTTTCTCATCGTTCTCATCAAAGGACGCCAGACGTTCGTGAATGCTTGCGATGTGTCAAGGAGAGGTCCAAAGTATTTGTGCAGTGGTAGCGATGATGGCACTGTTAGAATCTGGGACTCGAGGCGCAAGACGTCGATCCTAACTTTCCAGAACACCTTCCAAGTCACGTCGGTCTGTTTCTCAGACACATCCGAGCAGGTCATCAGTGGCGGTATTGATAATGATCTAAAAGTTTGGGATTTACGGAAGAATGATGTGGTATACTCGATGAAGGGTCACATGGACACGGTTACGGGGATGAGGCCCTGATGGGTCCTATTTGCTCTCCACTGCTATGGATAATACGGTTAGGATATGGGATGTCAGGCCGTATGCTCCCCAAGAAAGATGTGTTAAAATCTTTCAGGGAAACCAGCATACATTTGAAAAAAATTTACTCCGCGTCTCGTGGAGCCCAGATGGCACTAAGATAGCAGCGGGATCAGGGGATAGGATGGTCTACATTTGGGATACGACGACGATAAGAATACTATACAAGTTTCCTGGACATGGAAGATCAGTTAATGAAGTAGATTTCCACCCATTTGAGCCCATAATTTGCTCTGGATCGAGTGACAAGCAGATTTACTTGGGTGAAATCGAGTAAATGTTTTACCGGATCGTTATTATTGATATTATTGCAGGTTTATTATCATTATTGTTATTATTGTTGTTGCTAGATTGCTACTAAAGTTTTCTATAGATAGATTTATCAAATACGTTAAAATTAGTAATTTGTGCAACTGTATCTGTGGATTTTTTTTTATTTGTTAAAATGAATTATTAAATTCTATTTAAACAATTCCTTATTAACACAATCACCCTTCCTCGAGGATATGAAAAATTCGAAGTCAAATAAGGAAATACAAATTAACTCGATTTGATATTTTAGAACAATTTTATGATTTGAAACATATGTGCAACAATTATCCACAATGCAAATAAATTCAATAATTTGTCATATTCAGGATTTTTTTATTTTTTTGAACAGTTTTATTTACAAAAGTAAAAAGGTTCATCCTAGCAATAAAATACTAATTTATGGATGGCCTCATGAACAGAATAAATCTTAACTAATTCAACAGAATTTACACATAACCAAAAATAAAAAAATATCAACTGAAAAAATTAAGCTATACATATATATCTAAAATTATTTAAATGAAATTAAAAATAAGGGATAACAAAAAAAAGAGAAATTGAGTTAATATTATAATTATGAAATAAAATAAAACAATTTACGTTATGAACAGCATAAAAAATATGTTTTCAATTGTTTTTTGAAAGAATTATAAATTACATTAGATTTGATATAGTAAGGCAGTTTATTCCAATGGAGCGGACCATAAAAACAGAAATTTCTTCCTACAAATTTATCTTTAATTAATAAAGTGTTAATTAATAGTTTGTTATTATGCCTTGACAAAATGTTGTTTTTGGAAAATGTAAGAGTTTGTTGTAAGTGATTGTCAGAAGTAAAAAAATCTTATTAACAATTTTATATATATATAGACAGGATTTATATGAATTAATTTCAAATATTGTTAAAATGTTATTCTCATTGAAAATGTTTATATTTGATATAAAAAAGTTCTTCCGAAATAGATACGCGACCAATCTTTTTTGACTCAAAAATAACTTATTTATCGTTGTTGAATTTGCACATCCCTAGACTAAGTTGCAATAATAAAAATGGCAGTAAAAAAGCGAATAATAAAGCAGTTTACGAGTGTTATGGTTTAAATATTTTCTTGTTCTGGGGATAATCCCTAAATTTACGTTAACTTTGGTTATGATGTTGGAGATGTGTTTCTTGCAATTCAATTTATCATCAATATAAAACTCTCAGTAATCTGAAGGTGTCCACCTTTTGAATAGGGATTTCATTAATAATTACTGGAATATCATTTATACGGCAGGTTTTTTTGTTCGGGAATATCATGAAATTTGTTTTTTTTTTGAAGTTGATCGAAATATGATTTAAGGTTGTCCAGTGAAATAAATTTGACAAGGATCTGTTGGTATTTGAAACTAGATCTGCTAGGTCATGTGATCTGGAGTAAATAGTGCAATTATCAGCATAAATAACACTATGAGATAGTGCTGAATAAGAATTAGTTACGTCACTTTGATTTGCTTTTAAAAGTGATTCCTTATGATTTACTTTGAAAAACTCTAACAAATCTAACAGGAACTAACCCAAAATGTCAAACAGTAACGAAGGCTTCCTCTGTCAAAACGTTACAACACGCTATATAAATTTGTACATAATTGGACAAATCAAACCAAATAATCCTTATTGAATATTTTTGTGTAGAGCTGATACAAATTTTCAGTCGAACAAAACCTTAAAACATCTAATTATAATTAATCATCAGACTTTCATAAATTATCATCTAAATTATAATAATAACTTATATAAACAGGTATAATAAATTATAATAAAAATCAAAATTAAAAGATAAATAATAATAGTTAAGAAAAATCAATTAAACAATGGAACAGATGGATTTTTCCTTTGTCGACGGAGTCCCAGCAATAAAAACATCAAAAAAAATATCCTGTTGACAACTGCATATTTTCAGCTGCAAACAACCACCACATAAAATAACATATGCTAACAAAACATGGATCAGGACAAAAAATTATTTGTCCAATTTGTAAAACATACACCTGTGCCAACAACTCCATGCTCAACAGCAACATGAAGAGCCACTCAGAAGTGAGGTCTCACTCCTGCCAAACATGTTGAGCCTTGTATAAATTTTCGTACAAGTTGAAACAACATCTCACCAAACATCCATCTCACGTTCCAACCACAAATGCAAATTCACCGGCACCAAGTGTTTTTGTGTCATGGAGAAATTAAACGTTTTTTCAATGTGTATCTGTAACAATGCAAATATGTCAGAAACTATAACTTGTAGCTAAATAGTGATCGTAGTAACATTTGAAAAAACTAATCAATGAACAAAATAAAACCTAAATCATGTTTCTAGAGTAAACCGTTTTTATTTTACAAACCAAAAACTGCGTTTTTTTTCAAAATTTTCAAATTTTTCGAAATTTTAACCTCGATGAGGCACGGGTTAGCATTATCCAATGGAGCTAAAACTTTACAGATGTCATTTTTTAGTCAAGTGGCACAATTTAGGGGATTCCCCCGATAAAATTTTGAAAAAAAATTTCTTGTGACCACCCTAGTGTATATATATATATATATATTTTCTCACTAAAGTTTTTTGGTGAACGTTTAGTTTATTAAAATTCAAAATACAGGGTTCTTTGCTGGATTCTATACTCATTGGTATAGTTTCGCACACAGCTCCGATTTTTGTAATTTTTCTGCATTCATTTTATTTATTTCTCAGAGTTGTATCGACACCACCATCGGTCACACACGTCGATGTTGTACGATTAAACGGCAAGAAACATATCCCAAGTCGAAGACCCAACAAGAAGAAGTTCTAATTCCTGTATTCCAGTTTGTTCATTGACATTATTTTTTACATTATTCTAGAGTTCATTTAGTTCAATCCCTTTTCATTTACTTCCGTCGATTAATAAAATTGTTATCGAATATTTTTACGCGTTCGTGTGTTACCCAGTAAAACCATATAATTCGAAAAAGCCCAGTGGTCGAAATCACGATAAAAATATACAAAAAATTATTGTCGGACCATAAAAAAATCCCTGAGGAAATAGAGGAAGAGATTGCCTCACAACCAGTAGTAGCACAAATTTCCGACAATATATATATGTATATATGTGTATATATATATATATGTATATATATATATATATATATATATATATATATATATATATATATATATATATATATATATATATATATATATATATATATATATATATATATATATATATATATATATATATATATATATATATATATATATATATATATATATATATATATATATATATATATATATATATATATATATATATATATATA